TTTGAGTCATTTGTAATGCCTGTTTGTTTTTTTTCCTCTGAGGCTTTGTATGTACTTGTTGTGGAGTTACTCTCTTCTTCTGGGTTTACCTTTTGGGCTTCTTAACTTGCATTATAAGATTTCTTCACTGTCTGGTGGGAGTTTTTTTTTTCCTGCTTATTCATATTTCCAGCTTCAGTTCTTAGATTGAGACTTTATGCTAGGACCATTCTCTGCTTTCTCCTGCTCTCTTGGATAGGGTGGGCTGGCTGCTGTAGTTGTGGACTGGGTCATTAAAAATAAGCCCTGGCTTCTAGGTCAGTCTCCTAGTGGCCCAACATAGTCTTGGCCTTTCTGTCTCCTTCTCTTCGAACAATCCCCTACTGAGACTTTGCTCTGTCCCCTGATGTGGTGCTGACAATCCCCAGCCTGATACAGATTGTGCTGGTCACAGGCCTTCTGCACTGTCTTCTCCCTGAGGTCTACCTCACCATGATGCCCCAAGTGCTAGTTCTAGACCTTTTGGAAGGTGTATAAGTGGGCTGGCTGGGGTTGTGCTGGTTTTGGTATTGGCTTCAGGCCTCTCAGAACATCCCAGGCATGCCCCTGCCACCTGGCTCTGTCTCCCTGTGCAGCAACTTTTGGGGGCTGACTACTCTGCCTCTAACTAACCAACCTCTGCCTCTAATTCTACACTTGGACATAACCAGATGGCAATATCGAAATAGACTGATTATATACTTTGCAGCCAAAGGTGGAGCTCTGTATAGTCAGTTAAAATAAGACCTGGAGCTGATTGTCACTTAGATCATGAGTTTCTTATTGCAAAATTAATATTTAAATTGAAGAAAGTAGGGAAAACCATCAAACCATATAGGTATAACCTAAATAATATCCCTTACGAAGTGGATGTGGTGAATAGATGCAAGGGATTAGATCTGGTAGATAGAGTGCCAGAAGAGCTCTGGACAGAGGTTTGCAATATTGTGCAGGAGCAGCAACAAAAAACATCCTAAAGGGAAAAAAAAAGAGCAAGAAAGCAAAATGGCTGTCTGATAAGGCTGTACAAGTAGCTGAGGAAAGAAAAAAAAAGGTAAATGATGGGCTTAACTGAATCAAGAATTCCAGAGAACGGCAAGGAGATAAGGTTTTCTTAAATTAGCAATGCAAAGAAATAGAAGAAAACAACTGAATGGGAAAGACAAAAGATCTCTTTGAGAAAATTAGAGACATCAAGGAAAGGTTTTATGCAAAAATAGGCATGATAAAAGACAAAAAAGGTATAGATTAAGAGAGGCAACAAGAATACACAAAAAACTATGTAAGATTTTTTTAACATCACCAGTAACATGATGCTATGGTTACTGACCTACAGACATACATCCTAGAGAATGAAATAAGGCTAGTAGTAGAGGTGACAGAATTCTAGCTGAGCTATTTAAAATCCTAAAAGATGATAATGTTAAAGTATTGCATTCAAAATACCTACGAATTTGGGAAACTAAACAGTGGTTGGTCACTGGATTGCAAAAGATCAGTTTATGTCCCAATCGTAAAGAAGGGCAATGCCAAGGAATGTTCAAATTACCTAACAATTGCACTCATTTCAAACACCAGCAAGATTATATTTAAGATTCTGCAAGCTAGGCTTCAGCAATATGTGAACCAAGAATTACCAGAAGAGCAGGATGGTTTTTGAAGAGAGAAACTACAGAACAAATTGCTAACATTTGCTGGACTATGGAGAAAGCAAGGGAGTTCAAAAAAACATTCACTTCTGCTTCACTGACTACACTAAAGCCTTTGACTATGTGGATCACAAAAATATGTGGCAAGTCCTGAGATGGGAGTACCAGATCATTTTACTTGTCTCTTGAGGAACTTGTATGTGAGCCAAGAAGCAACAGTTAGAACTGAATATGGAACAACTGATTGGTTTAAGATTAAGAAAAGAGTATGACAAGGCTCTATGTTATATAACTTATATGCAGAGTATTGTGCTGTTGCTGTTCATTTGTTTCAGTTGTGTCTGACTCTTCATGACCCAATTCGGGGTTTTCTTGGCAAAGATACTAGAGTGGTTTGCCGTTTCCTTCTCCAACTCACTTTACAGATAAGGAACTCAGGAGAATAGGGTGAAGTGACTTGCGCAGGGCCACACAGCTAATAAGTATCTGAGGCCAGATTTGAATTCAGGAAGATGAGTCTTCCTGACTTTGGGCCCAGCACTGTATCCACTGTACTACTTAGCTTACCCCATATGCATAGTACATCATGTGAAAAGCCAGGCTAGACAAATCAAAAGCTAGAGAAATATCAACAATCTCAGAAATGCAGATGATACCACTCTGATGGCAGAAAGTGAAGAATTAAGAAACCTCTTGAGGAGAGTGAGAGTGTAAAAGCAGGCTTTAAGCTTAACATTAAAAACAAAACAAAACAAAACCAACAAAAAACCAACAAAAAACCTAGTCTTGGCAACTGGTCCCATTACTCCCTGGCAAATAGGAGAATAAATAGAAGCAGTGTCAAATTCTATCTCCTTGGGCTTAAAGGTCACTGTAGACAGTGACTTCAGCCATAAAATTAAATGACTTCTTGAAAGGAAAGCTATGGCAAATTTGGACAGCAGAGACACAACTTTGCCAACGAGGGTTCATATAGTCAGAGCTCTGGTTTTTCCAGTAGTAGGGCATGGCTGAGAGAGTTGAACTATTAGTAAAGCTGAGCACACACAATCAACACTTTTGAATTGTGGATCAAATCAGTCAATACTTAAATTAATTCAGAATACTCCTTGGAAAGTCAAATACTGAAGCTGGAGCTAAATACTTTGGCCACATAACGAAAAGACAGGAGTCATTGGAAAAGACCCTGATGTCAAAACAGACAGAAGGCAAAAGGAGAAGGGGACAGCAGAGGATGAGATGGAGAGTGTCATGGAACCAATGAATACGAGCTTGGAGGGACTTCAGGAGATAGTGGGGGACAGCCTGGTGTGCTACGGTCCATGGGGTCATGAAGAGTCGGACATGACTGAATGAACAGCGTCTCTCTGTTGCCTGCTCCTCACAAGCAAGGGTGTAGGGTCCACTGGCTTTGGCTTCCTCCTCCCTTGGCTCTTGCCACTCAGAATACTCTAAGGCTTCTGGTATTCCTGGATTAGATCAAAGTGGAGGAAGAGGAGAAGCAGCATTTATTAAGTACCTACTATGTGCCAGGCATTGTGCTTGATCCTCAGATCAACCCTGTAAGGTAGATGCTATTATTGCCCCCATTTTACAATTGAGGAAACTGAGGCAAACAGAGGTGAAGTGACTTGCCCAGGGTCACACAGCTAAGGCTGGATTTGAACTCAAGCCTTCCAGTCTCTAGGCCCAGTGCTTCTAGTCAGTAGATTATTGTTATTCTCTTTGGTTTTACCATTGCTTTTTCAGTTGCATTTTGAGAACACTGATGGAGTGTTATTGGGTGAGCTAGACTCCTCCAATACATTTTACTTTGTCATCTTAACCAGTCTTCAGGTTTTTTTCATAGCATATATAAAAATTTTTATTGAAACTTTTTTACACTTTCTTTACTTCTCAATTTCCAACCCTTTTTACAAAGAACAAAACAGAAAGAGGAATAAAACAGACTAGTAACACCAGTCAGTGCATCTATTGAGTCTGACGCTATATGAAGTTTATCATAGTGTCCCACCTATGCAAATAAAAGGGAGTGAATTGTCATATCTTTTCTTTGAGGCTGAGCTCAGTCATTATTATTATACTACATTTTTTTTGGTTTGCTTTTCCCAATTACATTCATTGTATCTATTGTTTTCCTCATTTTCCATACTTTACACTCCATCCATTTGTTTGCCTTGCCATCTTTGTCTTCTTCATGTTATTTCTTATAGTACAGTAATATTCTATTACATTCATATTCTCCAACTGATGTGTATTTTGTTTCTAGTTCTTTGCTGCTATGAAAATTGCTAGTAGAAATGTTTTCATCTATTGGGAACTTTCTGGTTTTTTTTTTTAATCTCTTTGGGGTACATGCCTACCAGTGACATATCTGCATCAAAGATTTCGGATATTTAAATGGATATTTAAATCACTTTCTTGGCATAATTCAAAATTCATATAACACATATTCTGATAAAATTTAGGATAATGGCTTCTTTGTTGTTAAAACAAAAATTAAAGCCCAAACCAAATGGCAATGCAGGGATAGCGTTTAGCTATATATTCTTACCTGCACTATTAGTCTCTCCAGTAGTTCTATAATTTGTTGAGCAATCACTGCCATGAATAAACTAATACAATTCACTGTACAACCACATAAAGGATAGCACTGCTTAGTATTGCTTTTACTTTCATATACATAAGAACAAGGCAGGTGCTAGATTGACTTGTACCTTAGTCTCTGGATAGTATTTGTTCTGATAGATTGTAAGGAAACAGGAAAAACTAGTTTATTTTTTTCCTCTTTAAAATGGTATCCCATACCTGCTTTAGAGCAGAAACTAGTGTGCTTTTTTGGGGAGGGTCAGAAGAGATGCAAAACAGGCTGCCGTACGGCTGCTGCAGTTGCTTGCAGCTTGATTTTTGTTGTGTGTGGTTTTTTTGTTTTATTTTGCAAGGCAATCAGGGTTAAGTGACTTGCCCAGGGTCACATAGCTAGTGAGTATCATGTGTCTGAGGCCAGATTTGAACTCAGGTGTGTTTGGTTTTTTTTAAGGCAATTAGGGTTAAGCGATTTGCCCAGGGTCACACAGCTAGTGTCAAGTATTTGGTCTGAGGCCGGATTTGAACTCAGGCCTTACTGACTTCAGGGCCGGTGCTCTATCTACTGCGCTACCAAGCCGCCCCAGGTGTGTATGTGTGTTTTTTTTTTTAATAGAGTCTACTTTCAGAACCTTTATTTTAGGGGAGGAGATTACACACACATACGCGCTAATTATTTTGTAACATGCTCCCTATTCTAGAAAACATTCAATTTTAGAAAATATCATATCAGTCATTTCAAAGGTATCCTTTCATAAATTACTTTTATTTCTCATTAAATGAGCACAGAGTCATTAGCATATTAATAACAGATATGTTTATTATTACATATCCATCAGTGCGGCTTTCAATACCACTTGAAACATGCATATCGTCCTAGAGACGAATCAGTTTTCCAGTGCTTTTTATTTGATACACATAACTGCAAAGCCATTATAAATTACTGAGGAGGTATTTGGTTAAAAAAAATTTAAAAAAATCATACTGCCCATACCATGAATCAACTCTTGTTACAGAACAAGAGTTTAACAGTATTTATCTGGTAATTCCTATATGACCTGGAAAACACCACAGATGTATGCCATACATAAGTTTGCTTTTGCTTTTATGAATGCACCTTTCTACACTTTTTGCAGATACTTTTATGAACTCATTCAATGTAGCAGGTAATTTCATGCAAAGATTGTACTCAATTTATGAAATTCAAACCAACCTCTAAAAATACTTTAAATTAAACCAATTATCAATAAAAAGCCCACTGACACACAACTGTCAGGAAATATGGTTTTCTTTTTTGTTTTTTGAAATTTCTACATTTAGACATGGCAGTAAAATAATTATCTCAAATTAAGGCACTAGAAGGGCAATGCACCACCCATTAAAAGTGTTCTAAAAATAATTTACATTTCAAACAGTGCATACATTTCTTATATGTTTGTTAACTTAATGTCTTTATCACTTAAAACCATAAGGAAAAACATTATAAAATTACAGAAATGATGTACCCCAAAATATGCTTTCAAACTTGGTTCTTTTGTACAGTTAGTTCCTAATGCCTCTAGTATTAAAATAATTCAGTATGGCTTGGCAAAAATGCATAGATTAAATGTAATTTTTTTTTGTCTTCTCCTACCCCTCAATCAAGAAATCTGCTGAGACATATACGGTATTTTGTAAAAGCATAATGTAAAATATTTAATTCTCCATTAAGGTCCAGAATGGGCCATTAAAATTAAGGCTGTTACACTTTACAGTGAGGGCACTGAAGTTCAAGTGATGATATTACTTCTTTTAAGATAGTTCTGCAGTCCTGCGAAAGCACAAAAATTTGAGTCTTTACAGAAATTTCAGTTCGTCTCATTTTGAGATATTTTCTTTACTTCTTCCATGAGCTGATCTTAATAGTGAAATTCTCCCTTCCTCTCATTCACAAGAGGAAAATTCTGTTCCATCATGATTGACAGGCATTTTCTTAAAAATGTAAAAAGGCAGCACCTTTTAAAAAAATATACCTAGCTAAGCTTTTTATTTGCTTTTACTTGCATTACACAGTAATAATTAATCTAATCTACCTGTAGGCAAACCCGCAATAAAAACCCTCAGTGTGCTTTTGTGCCAAAGCAAGGAGGATAGAATAACAGCAATCTTAATCCTGAAGCCTGTGATATTTGTGTCAGAAGGAACAGTCTGTCTGCTCTGCCTGGTTAAAGAAGCCCGGTCTCTCAGATGATATCCCACAAGATTCCATAAATCAATATGACGTGGTTAGCTGTTAAAAAAAAAATAAATAAATGTTTACATTCAGAGAGTCTATTGCTAAACATTATTTTAATCTCTTCAATATCTGGAAAGTAATTTCTAATCAATTAAAGCAATAATTTAGCAGACATACACTTAACTCAGGTACCATCTACTAAAATCATATAGATTTACTCTATGGTGACAAATGGTGAGAATGATCTTACTGCCCTATTAAATATAAACACTAAATAAAACAAGTAGCAAAAGTCATAGCTCAACATGCCCCCAAGGCAGAACTGTACTATGCTTATAATAGGGTTAAATTAAAATTGCAGTTATTTTTGGATCACTATTAATCAATGTTTCTTAATGACAGTCCTAGTAGTACAGCATTTTAACGTACCTTTTGAATTAAAAAGCCTAAATTCTATTGGTCACAATTTTATAGTAAAGCATATTTTTACATTATTTTATTTCTTTGAAAAATGCTAATCTATGTAAGGTAACTCTCACAGAATTAATCAGTGAGTATGTATTAATGTGCTCAGCACTGTCCTAGGTACTGTGGTGGGATATAAAACAAGTAAAAAGACCTGTTACTTGTCTTCAAGAAGTTGATAAAAATTCTGTTAACGGGATAAGACTAACAAATATTAAATTATCAGGCCTATAGTATAATATCAGGCACTAAACTGTGACTGATGTAAATTCAAAGGATGGGGATCCATAAGGTTTGGTGTAGTCAGGAAAATTTTCAAGCAGAAAGTTGAAGCAAGCAGTGACATAACGGATTTGGACAGGCACTGGGGGAGAAGAGAGGGTATGTTCTAGGCAAGTGAAATAATGTGAAGATAGGAGATGCACCCAGGCACAACACAGTTGAGGAATAGTTAAAAAAAAAAAAAAGGAAGCTGACAGCTGAGGGTGTGTTGTAGGGAGCAGTAGGATTTGAGAAGATGAGGTTCATATTATGGAAGGACTTGAAACCACTGAGACAAATTCAGACTTGATGTAGTAGAAAATAGGGTTCCGTGTTAGTATTTTTATAAGAAAAAGATTAAAGAAATGGTGCCTAAGGAACAATAGTCTAGTCAGCCATGTGGCTAGACTGGAGGAAAAAAGGAAAGACTAAAGGCAGTGAGAAGGAAAAGTTAGCAGGTTATTACAATAAGGTGTGAAAAATTCACCTAGAGGTTGTGGTAGAAGAACTAATGAAGAAGGGAAGAATATAAGGGGCATTTGGAAGAAAGAACTAATGGGATCTGGTGACAATGCTGATAGGGATAAGTAAATAAACAGTCAACATTTTCTGAGCATGAATAATTTGAGAGAATGATGGTGCTACTGATAAGAACAAATCAGAAGTGAACCCAATGACCTACTACTTTGGATAAAGGAGTTTATCAGAATTAGAAATCTGAAAAGTCAAATACATCTCTATATGTTTATTACTTAAAAATCATCAAAACAAGTATTTATAAATGTTTACAAATGGGACAGAACATTAAAGGTTAAAGAGATTATTCTACTATAATTTCTTAAGGGAAATGCATTCTTAGTAAGCATCTTATAGCTAAAAGGTTTTCAAAATAACTCGATGGTCCAACATTTTAGTTCTGGGAAGAAAAAAGTTCCTAAGTTAATGATATTTAACTTGATCGTCCTTTTTTCTTTCTTTCTTTTTTTTTAACCAGCTTGGAGGAGAGAGGATCCTGTTTATTAGTTGCTCAAGGTTTACATGAAGGTGGGTTGGTGCAAAATATTTTGTCCTGACTGCAGCTTGTTTTCTTCCCTAAGTATATACTTCCCAAAGTATAGGCTCCTGACCTGGAGCTCAATGTCAGCAGGTCTTCAGATTGCAACCCAATCCCTTGTGAAATTACACATCATGGACAACTGTGCCTTACATTTCCTTGGTTGGCCCCATGAAATTTGTACTAGATTTAAATTTTGTCCGTTTACTTAACTTTATTTATACATACTTACTCATGTTTTGGGGGCAGGATCAACAACAAAGGTCAGATGAACGGCCCGTGCCCCACAAACAAGGCACGCTAGATGCCCTTTCCCCCAAAAAGGTTCTTAGAGGCCTCTGCCATTGCTAAACAGACTTCTTACTGCAGACTTAGATGGCCTGGGAATAATGACAGCCTTATGCTTAAAAACACAGCTCCTGGGAATCTAGTGGAGGGTCAAATGAAAGTCTCCTCTCAAGAGAACAGTAAGCCTAGTCCCAAATTTAGCTCAGGAGAGCTACTAGAAAAGTGCTATTTCTTTATATTCAGAACTATTCAGTTTTTATGTAAGACATTCAAAAATTAAAAATAAGGTGTCTAATTTACACAGTTCTTTTAAACATCATCAAAGCCTTTTCTAGTAAGTCCAATCTATGTTCTGAGAAAGAAACCATTCCCAGGGAGGGCTCTACTATGCATGTGTAAGAGAGTGGATTAAGGGGAGAAAACAAACAGCCCTGAAGCTCTCTCTAAGGCCCCATGGGACAAAATATAGTAAAGCACATTTCTTTATGGAGAAATAATTTAGCAAGAACAGTCCATTTTATTACCATCAATACAAAGAATACATTTTAAAAACCAAATATATGAGAAAAATTTTAAGTTTTCTAAACTCCATTGGACAAAATTCTTTAATCATCAATATGGTAACATTCTACACATCTGCCATCTAGATTTATAGGAATTTCAATCATCTGGACCAAAGCCAGGTACTTAAAATGGGAAAACTTCTCTTACGAAAACAAGTGGTTAAAAAAACCCTTTGCTCTACAGTGCTCTACAGTACCCACAGTACTTACAATTGTGCCAAATTAAGCTTAATTAATAATAAGTCTTTTATTTGATTTGTTATAGCAGGATGGCATATTAAAAGGAAAGAGAGGGAATGTTGTTGGAAGGTATCCCATAAAAGTTTAAAGCAAAGGTAGTAGACACTGAACTATAAAGCAGTCCAGTCCCACACTTGTTTAACTATTGCTGACAGTATGCTATAACAGCATTTAGGAAACGTTTCTAAGGCATCACTAAAAAGGTTAAATAATGTTCATCATACTACATAAGAAGACAAGGAACTCTGTAATATGTGCAAAAATAATTTTCAAAAAATGGTTTCCTGATGTCAACAAATGAGTTATCATTATACCTCAGCCACTAGTGAAAATGGATTAAAAGAAAGAAACCCATTTCTTTATTTTTTGAATGTTTAACTATTCTAATTTTGGACTGAAGTAGGACGAAACTATGATAAATCCTCTTCCATTTATAAAATGTGAAAATTATTACACTACAGATCATAAAGTCTCAAGTTCACCCTCAACACAGTTTACATAGGGACAAAATGAAGCTTGTCAGCCAGGGTCACAGAGCTGGGCACTGGTAAAGTCAGGACTAGGAAAACCCAGGCTTCTTGATTCCCAATCCATTGTTCTTCAAATAGTAGTATATTCCCTGAGGTTAAAGAATACTGAAGACTGTGTGTATAGCAATATACATTTAACTAGGAACTGGGCGTAAATACCATCCATTTGTAAATGCTCTCTGTTTCTAAAGACCCACTCAACTTAGAACAATTTTCTAATTCATGTCTGAAATCTGTCTACAAATGATAATGTCCTTTCTATGAGAACCAGGTTTTAAGAACAAGGAGGTTACTAGTGTTAATGAAAGATGCCTAATCACTGCTGTCAGAAATAGAGGTATTTAACGTCTTACCTAGTTTTCCCAGAGGTATTTTTGACAACTTTCCGGAAAGACTGATTTGCACTAGATCTGGTAGAAAGTGTTCTAGGAGATGCACGAACAAAACTGGATGGTGGATTCTTAGGAATCTTCTTTACTAAATGGGTTACCCATTTCTTCTGTTCATCCTGAGAACATGCTAACAGCAACATATCTCTTGCTGATGTTACATCATAACTCACTATGAGTGGATAGGGAAAAAACAATAATTAAATATGTAAGTAAAAGTAAGTTTCTAAATATGAGATGAAATACCAATCAATTTCAAAATATTTCTAATTGCTCCTATTTCAATACTTCAAAGATCTTAGTAATGTGGACACTGCCTCTAGTGGTAAATTAAAACCCAAATGCATCTCTTGTTCTGTGTGATTCTTATCCATGTCCTTCAATAAATCCTCTCCAGAAGATCAACATGTAGAAGACTTCTGAGTCTTTCAAGTACCAAAATAGGCACTAGTGAAACAATAGAAATCCATCCTATCCCTTGCTTTGGTTATGAGAGTTTCACTTCTTTTTTCTATCACACATTTCCTCAATGGTATCTTTTATGTCACTGCTTACTTGCAAGTCAACACTGGTAATTTACTGTAGTCTGTGTCAACTCTGTGTCTTTTCACACTGTTCTTTAGGTCACCAGTAAGGCCATGTAATAATACTGAAAAAATGCTGATGCTAAAAAAGAAAAGTTTTTACTTTCAGAAGCACTGGATCCTTGAAACCACTGCCCCATTAACCAAGGGCAATCAAATTTTCTTCCTTTCTCCTAATCAATTATGTGATGAGTTCACTGTCCACATGCAGGGCTTATTCAAGACATGTAAGTCTTCTTATATTTTGAGGAACTGTTTATAATTATCACCTATTTTCCTAATGTTGTCAGTTTTGGCCAAGGATTTCATAATTCTCAGCAATGTTTTTTAAAGTTGCTTCTGGCAGCCTCACTGGATAACAATGTGAATAAATTTACTTGTTTATCCAAAGATAAAACTAAAACACTATAGCTTATGTTAAAACTATTTAGGATTAATAAGCTATACTTATCCCTTTCAAAAACATATGTAACAAACTATTCCTGAGATTAAAAAATGTGAACTCTATGCTTACAATCAAATTTATAAAATCCTGGTTGTCTATCTTCTCCCCACTTAATAATGCTATAATATTTTGTAACCTCTTTTTAACTTTGTGTTATAATAAAATGTTTTGGATAGAAGTAATGCTTTAACTATCTTAAAATTAGGATTAAATTTGTTAAAAGTTGTAAGAAAAATTATTTGCCTTTTCTTTTACCTTTGCATGGAGAAATTAAATCTTCTTTTTTGTCTAAGTGATCTCTGTGGCACTTGACATGGCATCTTCGACATTCAAGGGCAGGGGGTGGCTTAAAAACATGCCAGAGAGGTTTGGCACAAGCCTCACAGTTGGCTGGAAAGTGATAGAGTGTAGGAATAAACTCATGGCCTTTGTGATTCTGAAAATTAGTCTTCTCAGCTTGTTGTACTGGCTCCATCTCCAAATCTTTCCTACATTCACCTTCATTTGCATATAGTATCTATTTTGAGAGAGTTGAAAAAGGAGAGATAATATCAATATATAAAGCAAAGAAATACTGAAACATTTTATATTAACCCTATGTTAATTAACCCAGATGTCCAATTAATAATCAGTTAGCATTTTAAAAAAACTGTCACTTAGCATTTTCACCTGGAATATTTTAGGGATTTCTTCAGTTTCTGCTCTATACACATCACCTTGGGTTACAGGTCGAACATGGAATAGTTTGCTGAAATTTAAAAAAAAAGACACATTTTTAAAAAGTCATCTACACTACATTTAATCTATGATATATAAAGTAAAAGCCACTTGATAAAAAGGGCCAAGGCATTACATACTTTTAAATCAAAACTCTTTACTATTTATCCTTGTTCTATTTACTGTCATCTTCCAACTCTAACAAGGAACCATAAACCCCTCAATTTTTAAATGTCTTACCTAATGTAAATGAATTTTATAAAAGGGAAAAAAGTCCTGCTTATTACAGGATATAATTATTATAGGACAGTCCTATTTGCAATTATAGGACTTACTGCAGAAACTGCCTATTATCTCAATGGGCAGATACCTTTATTTCTCTACTATTCAGTAAACAGATATTACATGATAGATTTCTAAAACAATGGTAGAGTTGACTATAATATGTTACCAAAAATAACTGGTAGAGGAAAAACCTCTTCCATAAAATCAGAGCAATATGACCATAAAGGAGATAGGTTAAACTTGTAGTGAGGCGAAGGGCAGTTCAGTCAACATGCTTCACTGGTATCCATGCAATGTTGAGATCGCAAGGAAGGCCCTCTCATCAAGTTGGTTGGCCAGCTTGTGGAAGATTTATAGGAGTACAGAGGCAAGCCTCAGAGAGGATGGCTGCATGTGGATAGTTTGTGATCTCCACCATTAGAGGAAATAACTACATCTACCAATGCGATCACAAGTTAAACATCATGGTATCTTGAATTTAAAACCATTCAACACTTTAAATCCAAAGTGGAAAACGATAAGCCTTCACCCTTGGAATGTCTGAATCTAAAATTATGGTAGTTTTTCTTGCACATTTTGCCAAAGTAGGATAATAACATTAACTAAAGAAAATGTATATGGTGAAAGAAAAATGACAGTAGCTTAATGACACAGTAATTTGAAGATGACTGCTCTTTTTAAATATTAAACTCAAAGTAACTGTGACTACAGTGAATATACTACTTAATAAGAACAAGTTATCTGTATGTTACCTTAAAAGCAAAAGCAACTTACTCTATGTCTAGTACCATAGATGGATTTGACTGTTCCTTATCCTGTTCATCATTGTAGAACAAAATTTTTTTGCTGCTTACTACAACATACTGAAACAAGGGGAAAAGGTTAAAGTTAATGAGAACAAAATTTGCTTGGTTTAAAAATATAAGAAATCATTATGATTGTGTGTGTGTGTGTGTGTGTGTGTGTATACACACACACATATACATATATATAAAATATAAAAGAGAACTAAACTCTACTTGGCTTACAGTCTAATGATCTCTGAAGCAAAAATAACAGCCTTTACTAAATATTTACCCGAATATAGTATGAAAGAAAAATCAAATGAAAAAAAAAACCTGTCAAATATTGAGTTCCACATAAAATTCCATACTCTGATTATAAACTCAGTTATGTGTTGCCCATATTGATTATATAATATTATGTAACTGCTTTGATACAAGTTCTGTCTTTTAAGAATGAATGGCACAGAAGTTTATTAATTTTTAAAAATTCAGAAATAAGATGTATACGCTACCTGTTTCTTCCAGCCATATCGTTTTATATTTCCTCTGTTTGGGACTGAGAGCCAACCTTCAATTCTTGATTCTGTATCAAAACAAATTTGCAATATGAGATCTTTAAATATATAACAGAGAAAATGAACATAAAGCACATGTGACAGCATGCAGTACAGGCGTTTGAAATAAAAAGTGCTATAATTTGCTTTTTCATGCGTCAATCACAAATTAACTTAACAGCCATACAAATATTGCAGGGCAAAATAATAAGCCTTTCCCCCATTAAATTTAACATTTAATTATAGGAGAATGGGGTAATAATAAACCTTTAAGAGCAAGGCAAAAATATTCAACAATGGATTGCAGCTAAAATGGAACATGATTTAAAAGATCATTTAACATTCAAAGTAGCTACAAAAAATATTTAGCAAAAAAAGATGCGGCAAGTAAAACAAACCAGAGCCATCATGTTTACACAAAAGAGAGCAAGCAAAAGTACACAAGTGTCCTATTACTCACAGAAGACAAGAATAGAAGATAAATAAATAAGGAATGCAGGAAGAATCAACTAGACATAAAGAATAAGAGACAAGCATTTTATTCAGTTTTCATAGGACAATATTCTAATGAGCACTGTGGTAAACCCAACCCAATCATATTAACAAATCTGTCCCAATTTTTTAAAAAAGGCATCTTAATCTCAAAGAGCAGAACATGTAAAATTCTCTTTCAACACCAAAATAGAGGCCTTTTATGTTTGTGGCCTTAGAATTTTAGTACTACACAATAACAACAACAACAAAATAATTTGGACAGCTAGTGGCTAGTTTTTTTGGTAAGAGAAATTTCATTATAACAAATATGATCATGAAATTTCATGTATCATTATTATTACTGTTAGAAAAAAATAAATTTTTCAGAAAATCACTGAAATAAACGGTTCTAATTGAAAAGAGTTGTTTCACAGCAGGCTATTAAAAATATTCATCATCTATTTCAAACAAATATTTTTCCTAGATTTTCCTAGTATGGTTCCTACCATTTTAGTGAAAAGAAATCACAACAGCACAACTCTACTCCAGCCACTTTTTCTTTCCATCTAACAAGACAATGGAACTGCCTCATGCAGTCCTCCTTTTGATATTTGGGAGATGAACACTGCAATCAATAAATAGCTACTAATATCACGTCCATTCTGCATTAAAAATTTTAAACCATGATCAATCTAATCCAAATTTTCAACCTTAGCTTCTTATAAGTTAAATGAGAGGCAAATGGTCTGGATAATCTGAATTTTTTTGAATTTCTGAATCAGAAATCATAAAAGGTCTGAATTTCACATATCTGTTATATTTGGTATTAGGCATACTCAACATTTATGCAGTTTTATAGCAGTTAAAATAACAAGAACCTTATGCTCAAATGAAGGTGGACTGAATTCACAACCTTATGGAGGATACGGCCAAATAAATAACGCTACAGTGATGTGGAATATCAGTTTTTCTTACTAGAAATCAGATGGCTTTCCTACTTTCCTTAAGATGTAGGGAAAAGCTAACAAATGAGGCCTGAGAATTTTTTTTTTTGAGGTGTGTACTGGGTTAGGAAGAGGAGAAAACACACCACAAACCCTCTCCCTTGCTCAATGCTCTCCCACCCCACTCCCATCCTTGTCATAAACCAAACTTACATGGAGTCCCCAAATGGTACACAGCTTACTCTAGATATTTGTTACAGATTTGCATCAAAGGCAAAGGGAACAAATCCATTAACAATATAAGAAATGCTTCTAACATTTCCAATACTTCAGTGGACCTCTGATGTCACTGATGTGGACATTCTTTGCAGTGATAGGGAAAGGGAAGGAAACATGCACTTACATATAACCTACTACATACTTTTTATATATATTATCTCATTCTCACAACTCTGTAAGGTAGGTGCTATTATCCTCATTTTACAATCGAGGAAACTGAAACAGTTTCAATGACTCGACCAGGGTCACACAGCTACTATCTGTGACCAAATTAGAATCCAGGTCTTCCTAATTCTAGGCCCAGTGCTCTATCCACTGCGTATTCAGCTGCTTCATGATTATGCAGGCCATAATCCATCCATGTCTGCCCATGCAATGCATCTCTTATCCATTTTCTCCCCTCCAGGGGATGCATGGAGCGAGATGGGGGCCTTCTTCAAGTTCTTTTGACAATGAAAAGATTGCAATGGATTATGCAAATCATCCCAGGTTTACATATTTCTACTATTAAAGGAAGCCCCCCAGCATGTTCTTTTCTTCAAATACTTGTTGCTTTTGGCTACCTATCAATCATTGTTGATTTTTGTAGGATGTCCTTATTGCAGACACGCCTGTTATGTCCAGTCCTTTCCCTTTTGTGCCCTTCCCATCCTGTGTACTCTTGTTCTCTCTTCTCTCAAATTACCAAGCTTAGAGGATATCTTTTATCTCTCCAGGGGCGAGGGGTCCAGCTGGGACACTGCAACAGGGAGACTCTGAGAAGTGACTGTCATTGGACATTCTTCACTTCTACCAGTCCCGTTCTTAAAGAACTGCCTCGGTCACCTGAGGTCTCTGGGCCTGTTTCTTCAACTGTTACAGGAGTGAGCTGGCCTAGATGGCCCCTGAGGCTCCTCAGAGCTGCACAGCTATCATTTATGGTCTTTGAGGCTGATCCAGTGAGTCACGCCCATCCACTCTCTCCAGAAGTGGGTTCTTCTCCATGGCTCTACCCAAGAGGTTGACTCTAATAGTTAGTGTCTAAAGCAGCAACAGCCATAAGGAAAAGAGGGCCAGCCTACCGTGGTATAGTCATGTGTGGTGATGGGAGGAGCTGGGGGAACAGTGCAAGGAATGACAGGCTGCTGAGTAAATCTTCAGTTTTGTTTTGTTTTTTTTCCAATAAAAACTACCTCTTGGTCACTTTTTTTTGGTATTAATAAGTTAGTGCTGTCTACCTATTGAAATCCATTTCTATTACTTTGTATTTACTTATCTACTTACCTACACCTCTCCATTAGAAAGCAAGCTCTTTGAAGGCCAAGACTATTTCAATTTCTATCTTTGAATACTGGTGCCTAGGACTGTGCCTTATATGCTGTTGTAGTTGTTGTTCAGTCATTTCAGTCATGTCCAACTCTTCGTGACCCCACTTGGGGTTTTCTTGGCAAAGATACCAGAGTGGTTTGCCATTTCCTTCTCCAGATCATTTTACAGACAAGGAAACTGAGACAAACAGGATTAAGTGACTTGTCCAGAGTCATACAACTAGCAAGTGTCTGAGGCCAAATTTGAACTCAGGAGATGAGTTTTCCTGACTTCAGGCATGGTACTCTATCCACTATACTAGTTAGCAGCCCATTTCTTACATAGTAGGCCCCTCATAAATGTTTGTTAAACAGAATTCAACCAACTTTAACAAACTCAAAATCTTCCTTCCTGTAACCATTTCTTATGAATTGTCAACATGATAATCATATTTTTGGGGAATCACTGTAAGGCAATCTCTGTTAGTCGATATTTATCTAATATGAATTTTCCAAGTTACTAGTAAATAACAGCATAAAAATGGGCAACGAAATAAAGTTGGTCATAATTCCTCTACAGTGTCTCTTTACAGTCTGAAAATTTAAGTTTTCATCTGCAAAATCTCAAGATCGGGAGTACAGCAACAGGAAAAGGTTCACTTTTTTAGGTATTTTAAAATGTTACAAATTCATTTTTTCTTGACTTTACAATGTTTTTGCACTTGGCACATTCTATACTCACATTACATTTTATTATATCAATTTACTCTTTAGCATTGAAGTGAGCCATAACTAGAGAAAAATAATAAGAAGTTATCTTCATTTAGATTTAGCACACATTTGGATTAATATAGTGCACAGTAAAATCCAATTTACACTCCCTATTCACAAGCTATCTAAAAGACCAATGATTGATGCTCAGAAAAGAATTTCAAAAGTTTTGTTGACTAATGTTCTTCTTAAGGAATTATTAAAATCCCTTAAGATCCAAAATTCAAAAGAATGATGAGAGCCATTGATAAAAACTAGTTAATAACCTCTTACCAATGGCTTTCCTGAAGTAAGTGAGGTAGGAGAATGAGAGCCCCTCCTTTCTCTCTTACTTTAGATCTACCCTTTCACATTAAATCATCCAACAGTCACAAACAGGGATTGATTCTCTACCAAATTTGAACTATATATAGCAGAAAGTGAGATAGGTTCCTTTCTCATTTCTAAATAAGTTAATCACATCCTGTCACTCCTACCTCAGTCTCTTTCAACCAGCTTTGTACCTATTACCTCTGCCAAAACTATTAGAAGTCCTCATTACCACAAATCCGAACATTATAATAACCAAACAGAGCTTTATGCCTCTACTCTTCATTCTTCACATCCCTGTCAAACATCTTCCTGTAATGTAATCTTATCTGGTAATGTCTAAATAGTAATTCCTCTCCTCAACACCCTTCACAAGAGCTCCCTATTTCTTTAAGAAGTAAAGCTCAAACCCCTTTTGTGCAGCATTCATGGCTCTCCACAACTGTTTCAGTCAAAGTAGAATATTCAGTGTCCACAGGACATGTAAGCTCTCTTCTATTTTCTTTGCTTATGTGCTCTTCCCTGTGCTTGGACATGCCCTGTTTTTGATATCCTTTTGGTTAATTCCCCTTCCTCAATTTTATTTTAAGATCCACATTTTCTTCCTTCTGCTTCCTTTTCTAGTCCTGCTGCTCTCCCCTCTCCCCTCCTCATCAAGAAAAATAAAACCCATTATAAATCATGTATCATCAAGTGAAACAAATTCCCACATAGGCCACCTCAAGAACAAAAAACAAAAAACAAAAAAAGTATCAATCGGCACTGAGTCCATCAGTTCTCTATCTGGGGGTAGGTAACATGTTTCATCATGAGCCCTCTGGAATTGTGACTGGTCACTGTGTTGATCAGAATTCCTAAGTCTTTCAAATTTGCTGGGGTTTTTTTCTTTTTACAATAGTATAGTTACTGTACAAAATTTTCTCCTGGTTTTGCTCACTTCACTTTAGATCAGTCCACACAAATCATGCCAGGTTTCTTTGAAACCATCCCTTTCATTTCTTATGGCACAAAAGTACTCCATCACATTCATATACCATAACTTGTTAAACCATTCCCATATTGAAGTGCATCCCTTTGGTTTCCAATTCTCTGCCACTACAAAAAAAAAAGGTTTCTATAAATATGTTTGGGCATATAGTTCCTTTTTCTTTGATGTCTTAAGGGTATAAACCTAGTAGTGGCATTGCTAGGTCAAAGGGAGTGAACAGTTTAATAGCTTTTAGGTTCTTGTTCCAAACTCTTTTCCAGAATGGCTGGACCAGTTCATTCACAGTTCCACCAACAGTACAGTAATATATCTATTTTTCCTCCTAGTCATTCTTTAAAATCAAACCCAAAGACCACCTCTTCCAGAAAGTCTTTGGACCAGAAAAGAAAGAACAAAAATTACAGATACTCAGGATATATAAGGAGGGAGTGTGACAACACCTAGCTGCTGAGAGAAATTATTATTTTTCTATTATACTGATAACCAATTATTAAATTAGGATTAAGGTTTTTTCCCTTTATTTCCTCATTCAGGACCAGCCCCTATAAGCCAGTTTCTGAAGGACACTGCCGATAGATGAGATTGCCCAAATCCTGGGTACATACTCGGTGATCTAGGGTGGGACCCCACCCAACTAGAAAACCTTACTTCTGTTTAGAGTGTAAACAGAATCTAATCTCTTGCTCTTAGGAAATAAGCCCACATCACTGTACCCCTCCACTGGAGTTTAGGAGAACTCAGCTTATGAAGGAGAAAACCAAAAACCAATCAGAGTGGTCTGAACAGAAATAGATTATTCCTTTGTCCAGATTGCTGGAGGAAGCTGAGTCTCAGGATCAAGCCACATTCTCAGCAGGAGGAGCTGAAGACTTTTAGCCTATCTCCTCATTAACATGCCCACCCCCCCTCATTAACTGTTCACCAACCAGGGTTGATTTTCACCTGTCAGGGGCACCTCCTTTTCCAAAGATATTTAAGCATTCAGGGATCTCCATAGTTTTGTCTTCGATTAATGAGAGATCACTGACTATCAATTTATTATTTGCTAGCCTAATTAATAAACTGATTATTATTAATTACCCAGAAACTCTGTCTTTTGGGCCTTTCATTCATCTTACTGCTATTGATGAGTTTAAGTAACCTCCCCAGATGAACTAGATCTTAGGATAGTGAAGGAACTGATGTATGTGATTGTAAAGCCACTGCCAGTAGTCTCTGAATAACTTTGGACATGAATTTGTCCAAAGACCATGGAAACTGGGAAAATCATGGGACTGGAGTAGAACAAAGATTGTTCTAATTTTCAAAAAAAGGAAAGAGAAAGGAGTCTTTTAACTATATCCTGGTTGGCTTGATTTTAATTCTAAGCAAGATTCTAGAATATATCATTAAAAGGATGGTCAATGAATATCTAGAAGAGGAAACAATGGTCACAAAGAGCCAGCATGGCTTCACCAATCCTGGTCAAGTTGGACTAACTTCATTTATTGTACTTTGCCATAGTCAGACAATATTTATAGTATTAGCTTCAGTTCTGGGTACCATATTTCAGGAATAACACTGATAAGCTAATGAGTACCCATAAGAAGGTAACCAATAAGGGGAAGGGTCTTGAGATTATGCTACAGCTTATGCCATGAAGATCAATAGAAGGACTTGGGGATAGTTAGCCAGAAGAAGAGAAAACTTAAGAGGAAACAGGATAGCTATCTTCAGGTATAGGCTGTGCTTACATATGGAATGCCCATTTTAGTGAGGATGTGACCCAGGGCTTTTGAAGGCTATGCCAGTGGTGCATAAGCCCTAGCAAATTCTACTACGCTAAAAGGGCTTCAAGTATGGCCCCAGTAAATCAACATATATTTAAAATATGAAATTATATTTCAATACTAATAAACAACTCACATTTAACTCTGTTAAATTTATTACAAAGATAGACTTAAAAGTTCACACATCTCAAAGGATGAGTTAAACTTCCATACCACCCTACCCTACTAATCAGTAATCTTCATAATCTTCATAATCCTTGGTCCTTGAACAGGAACAAGCTAATTTTGAAAAGCTGCTTTTCTTGAAAGTAGTTATAACCTTCTATAAGTGCATTGGAATACAGAACTGATTTTGAATTTCTTCATAAGATTAGGACTGCTCACCACAACTGCTCCAAATCTCTTAATAACTGATTCAAATATAACAGGACAACCCTAGAACTATTTTTAGCAGTCTAACATATTATTTATTCTATATATTTTTAAGTCAATCTAAAATAACATAACTATGAAACTATCAAGAGGCTTCTACAAACAAAAATGAACTTTTTAATGGACAAAACAGAATTAAAAAAGTAGCAATGAAATGAGAGAAAAACATCAATTCCCACAAAGTCAAAGCCAGTTAAGAAGGTAAATAAAATAGAACTGCCTTACCTGGAAGGTTTCCATCAGTTTCATCGGCACTAGGAAAACTAGTAACACTAGTAGAATCTGAAAGGTCCAAAAGTTTTGCACGCAACTGCTCTATGTCACTCTCTTTGCTAGCCAGCTGCATCTGAAGTTCATTCCTGTGTGTGCACTCTTCAACCAATTGCTGTGTCCATTTAATAATTTTTTAAAAATACAAAGAATAATTAGAACCAAAGAATTTTCAATAACAAGAATCAATTATACTCAATTATAAACTCTATAAACCAAAGAGGTAATTAAAAATTAAGATTACAGATAAAAAACTACAAATATGTATTACTATATGCACGAAGTCACGTGACCTTGATAAACCATAATTTCCTTATCTGAAAAACAAGGATAAAAACAACTATGCTCACAACAGTTTATTCTGAGTATCAAATAAGATGATGGATGTAAAAGTATTTTGTAAACTGTAAAGCACTAGACAAGCAATGATAAGAAGAACATTTTCAGAGCCTGGGGTCTTGCAGATTACTTAGTCCCAAGTCTCAGATTTTATTATTCATCTGGTAAAAAGGAGGACTCCCCTAGTGACACATTTTTTTTTCAAATAATAAAAAATTGTTATTATTTCTTCCTTTAGTTCTTGAAATACGCTTTAAAATAAAGTATACAATATGGAAAATGTTCAAAGCTGAAGAAAGCATTTTTTTTCTGCCCCAAACCAAAAACCTTCAAAGGAAAAAGAAAATTTAATACCAATAATTACGTACTCTAATAAATTCACAGTTATCACATATATCAAGATTGCTCTTTTATTTTAGAAAATGATAATCTAGTGAGATTAAGTAAACTCTCATACGCTATCTGCTGTTATTTAATTGTTTCAGTTGTGTCCGACTCTTCACGACCCTATTTAGGGTTGTCTTCACAAAGATACAGGAATGATTTGCCATTTCCTTCTCCAGTTCATTTTACAGATGAGGAAACTGAGACAAACAGGGTTAAGTGACTTACCTAGGGTCACACAGCTAGTAAGTGTCTGAGGCTGGATTTGGACTCAGGAAAATGAGTCTCCCCAATTCTAGGCCCAGTGCTCTATCCACTGTGCCACCTAGCTGCCCCAAACTAAATTATTTTTTTAAAACTTAAAAAACAAAAAAAACCCTTTCTCCAACAGAAGTCAAGATATATTCCAGATATACTAGCAACAGAATTCTGCCCTGCTCAGTTTCTGCCTACGTATCTTAGGGTAGTATTCCTTTAGTCCCTTTTATCAGTCAAACAATATTTGTTGGAATCTTCTGCTGCTTAAAAGAACAACTGAGAAGCAGGAGGGGTTCCTACTCCTGATATCAACAGTATGACAACCAATCTTTATGACAAGTATAAATATAAATGTATAGATAGAAAAATTCTGGTCATTCTATAGAGTGGGTTAATTTATACATTAGTAAGACATAGTAAGTATACAAATAGGTATAGGACTTGTACTTGGGTGTAGCCTTTTGACTGAGTCCAAGTTTAACAAAACAAATCCTTTTATTAGGGAAAGATTTGTTCTGTGAAGTTTGAATTCAGTCAAAGGGCCACACATGGCCTCAAGGGTTCCCCACCCTTGGTATAGGTAATGTAAAATTTTAAGAATTAAAAAAAATAATCCAACACAAATACAACTTTACCGCTTGCATTTCATTGAGTTCCTTCTGGTGTTTCACTACCATCTGATTGAATTTCTCTCTCTCTTGGTTGAGTTCCAATTGTAATTTTCTGTTTTCCTTTTCCTTCTTTCTCAAATCTTGTGTATTAGCCTTCTTTCTATCAATTTTAAAATCTTTGCGATTCATTATTTCTGCCAACTTGTTAACAGCCTATAAAATATGCATGCAAAAGGACATAATAGTTCTCCACAAGCAATCTGAACATTTTTAAGGGAAAAAGATTCAATATCATAAAGTAAAAGAGACTAATGTAAACAGGTATATCAGTAAGTCAAGAAGAATTTATTAAGTGCTTAACATGTGCTGGGCAATGTTGAAACAAAGGCAAAAATGAAGCAGTCCTCAAGGAATTTACAATTTATCAAAAGATCAACACATAGCACGGTAACATGTTGTTTCATTCCATCCTTATAATTTGTAAGACAGGCTTACAAAAATTCTTCAGTAGAAGGCAGGAAATTAAAACTGCCCTATTATAAATTTCAATCTCTTTGCCAGAGTGAGAATTAGAAATTGTATTCATATAAAAAATACCCATACATAACAACTTTATCCACAAACACCTTATATTTTAAGTCAGAGTATAATGCAGACCTCCAAATAGAATGAGGAAATTCCAGCCTTACATGACTCAGCTTCAAGGTATTCTAGCCCCTCTCGCTTTCACTTTTGTGCCCACAATTCACTTCACTAACTTTAGTTAAGTTTTTCTCCTCCCCAGCCAGGTTCCCATCCATTCTTTACTACTTTCAGTCCCTGGTTTTCTATGTAAAATGGAATAGAGTTCTGTTTCATATATGCTAAGCTTTTTTTCCTTTCTTAGTATATCTCTGAAAAGCTCTATTTTAAACATCAGTATAGATTGACTACTACATGCCTATTCATCCCATTGAAAAAATAAACACTATTTATTTTTAATAATATTATTAAATATTATTGTTACATGCAAGGCCCTCAAAGGCAGGTCATGATTTATTTTGTATAGTGTTAAACTAAATAAACTAGCAATATTCAAACATAAGTTGACAACTGTAAAATAATTAGAAAAATAGTGAAAGGACATACCTGTATTTTTAGGGTTCTTTCAGTATTAATGTTCTTTTCAAAAGAAGCTTTAAGATTAGTGATCTCCTCTTCTTTCTTCAATTTATAATCTGTTCAATGAGTTAAAATATTTTTGGGGGCAAAATAAGTATTTTTCATGTAATAAACTTATATTCTATTACATACTTAGTAAAATTTAAAAATTTTTTTCATTTACCTTAGTAGTCTATTATATACTTAGTAAAACTTCTTTATTAATTATTAAAATCCACATACCTTCTTGTTCCTTCATTTTTTCAGTAAACTCTTCATTTTCCTTTCTTAATAGTTCAATATCTTTGGTTAATGTACTGTTTATTTCTTCCAGCTAAATGAAACAAAAAATCATAACCTAAAGCTGACTTTCAGTCAAAGCAATTATCTTCAAAATGAATTTTTCACTTCCCATATAAATACAGATTAGCATGGACTAATCACAGGGAATATCTGAATTTCTACTTAAAATATACTGTTTTGTTACTTTAATCAATTCAGGTTCTATTCATACCTTTTCTTCACCAGATTAATATAAATATGTTTATGGATATGTTCGCATGTGAAGAGTTATAAAAATCAGTCTTAGTTTTTTAGTAGTTATTGCACAGGTATTTCCCAATTTAAAAAAGGGCCCAAACAAATCCATCTTTGCTCTACCCTACTGGTCAGCTTCATGCTGACTGCTCAGAAGAATGAAGGGCAGCAGGAAATGTGGTGGAAAAGTCCTGACACTTAAGAGTTAGGAGGCTTGGAGATTTAGCTCTACAGCTACACTAAAGAGCTGTGTTATTCTAGGGAACCAACAATCTTTTTGGGCCCAAATCCCTTCATTTGTCAAATAGTGAGGTTGAACTAATTCATAGTACAAAGGCTTCAAAGTCAGGAAGGACTTCGACATCATCTAGTCCAACTCCATCATTACATTAATGAGAAAACTGAGGTCCACAGGTTTATATAAAATGTCTTCCTTAAAGTTACACAACTAACTATATCGAACCATTTCTATGTTTCTTCAGGTTTAAAATTTAATGATTCTAATATTAAGACCAGATCATATCTGATTATAACAAAATATAAATACATGTAATTGTGCACAAATATACACACAGACACATACACACAGACACAACTTATTATGTATATGTGGACCTCTGGATTATTTGGAATAAATATTCAATCTCAAGCATGACTTCTTTCTATCTGGCACATGAATCAGCACCACATTTTATATTAGTAGATATATACATGGAAAATAAGAGGGAATTTTAATATCTGCTTAAATAAAATTAGGAAAACATGATGCCATAAAGAGAATATAATATGATACACTTCAAAGCAAAATACATTTTAGAGTATCGACTGTTTTGAACTTTCTAAGCTACTGCTCTTTGATTGGGGTAGCATGATCACAGGTCAAGAACATGCCAGTACTTTAGGATATAACACTTACTGAGATTTAAATTCATTTTAGTAATGTCAACTTACCCGACTGACAGTGTGATCTTTATCTGTAATTTCTTGTTTATTTCGTGAAGCTGCTTTCTTACACTCTTGGGTCAATTCAAAATATTGTTCTTCTAGGAGACGTCGAGCCAATTGCTCTGATTCAGCTTTTGTTTCTGCCAGGTCTAACTGTGCAGCAAACGTTTCTCTACAATAGAGAGTAAAAGATTTAAGAGTGGATATTTTCAGGGAAAGTAAATAAATCGAGGTTATTCTTCCAATTGGATTATTTACATGTGTCTTTAAATTGCCATTAGAAAGATCACAGGACCTACAATTTCTTAATCATGCAAGGCATAACGCTTAATCTGTTACAAAATCCCAATAAGGATAATGGAGTTGGCCTTCATGTACCTGTCCGGCTCTTTGAAAAAAACAGAGAATAAAGTCAAATGTTTAACAAAGTATCTACTATTCTTTCACGTAAGTGGAGGTAGTAAAGTAACATTAAGTATTTCGGACTTCAAAAAATTTTTAACTTTTCTCTTTTAATAAAGCTCTGCACCAAAAGTTATTTCATTTACTTGTAATAAAACAAATTAAGAAGCTAAGTTTTAGGGATGAGTGTGAGGGTCTAAATACAAATTCCCCTAAATCACAGTTTAGGCACCAGAGGATGTGAATTTTTGCCCAACATGTATGAAGAATTGTCTCATAAAAATGCTGGCTACAATGCTAATCTGTTGAGTACTATTGCTAGGTTAAAATTTGTGGTTGTCAATAGTGAACTGGCAACTAATGAGTTTAGCAGACATTTATAGTATATAACTTTGTTTCATTGGTGAGGAAACTCCCTTTGCCAAAGCAGTTAAAGTAAAACTGTTCTGCAAAGTTAGGCTTAGAGACTTGCCTGGGGCACTAGGAAATCAAATGATCTATTCAGGATCATACAACCTACTTTATCAGAGGTGAGACTTGAACCACATCTTTCTGGCTTTAAGGCCAGCTCTCTATCTACTGTGTAACACTGCTCTTCGAGACAGTCCAAGATTTTTAATAAGCTTGTCATGGAGGCATACATGATACAGTAGAAAAAACTATGCCTTTATGGTGGTAAAGTGTTCACATCCTATCTATGTCACTTAACACTTGCATGACCTTGGCAAAGTCACTTTTTTCTCCTGGGCCTCAGATTCCTCATTTATAAAATTAAGTGACTGGACTGGATAGCCTTTGAAGTCCCTTCCAACTCCAGCTCTATGATTCACCTTATATCTCGATTTGCTACAACTGAGATAGGTTTATTTCTTTAAAATGAATTGAGTCACAGAATCCTAAAAATGCAAAGGTCCTCATAAGTCATACAGTTCAATTTCTTGCTAAATCAAGTAATTCCTTCTCAACTTTCTGGACAAGTGGTTATCCAGTCCTTGCCTGAACATTTCAAGTAAGTGATGGAAAACTTACTACTTCACAAAGTAAACTCATTTGGGGTCTTAAAAACAATTTTAATTATTTTTTAAGTTCTTCATTATGTTCAGCAGAATTCTGCCTCCTAATAGTTTTCACAATTTGGTCTTATCTCTACCCTTTGGAGAAGTATCAAATAAATCTCTTTTTACTTGAGAGCCATTTGATGTGTAAAGATTGCTATCATATACCTCTCTTTCCCCATGTCTATTATTTGTGAGCTTATATTTTATAATACACAGTTTCCAGAATCTACTCTCACCTAAATCTACCATCACATTCAACTACAATCTATCAATAGCTCTCTTATAATAGGACAGTTACCTCCTCTGACTTCTTCTATGTATTAACAATCTAAAATTATGTCAGGTCTGCTAGACTACCATTCCAATGTTTTCTACTACATCATACTATCTCCTAATAACCAGTTCAATAACCTTAAGAAAATCATTTTAGCTCCTCCAGGGCTAACATTTCTTCCTCTGTAAAATGAGTATATATTTCCCAAGGTCATTCAACTCTAAACTTTTAATTTTAAGTAACACATATAAATTTAGTGGCTCCCTATTGCCTCAAGGATGCAATACAAACTCCTCACTTGGAATTTAAGGCCCTTAACAATTTGCCTCCAACCTAGCTTCCTACCTTTAAATCACAATACTATCTTCACACATGCTACATTCCAGTCAAATGGGCCTACAAGATTTTCCCCAGACCCAACAAGCATTCATCACATTGTCCCGTGGGCCTAGAATGCGATCAAGTCTCCTCCCTGGTCTCTTAGAATCTTCATCTTACCATTGTTGCTGTTTGTCCTTAGTTCTTGAAGATGACTATAACATCAGGTAGGTGATGCACATGCAAGTAAATTGAATTTAAGTGAGGTAGGGCTTACTGTAAGACTCAGCTTAAGCACCACCTTCTTTCAAAGCCTTTCCTGGTTCTGTCCCCACTCACCCCTTCCCCTTCCTCAAACTACCTTACATTACATACATCTGTGTACAGGGTGAAGTGAGGGACAGTTTCATTTGTGTCTTTATGTCCCTGGGGCCTAGCAGAATGACTTGTACAAGTTAAGTGCTTAATAAATGTTTGTTGAATTAAGTGTTGAAGCAAAATTAATAAAATGTAGTCTAGTAAAAGTTTCTAGGAGACTTATGTTAATGACTAAATAAGGATAAACTTTAGTACTTCAACTGTTTATGTAACAGCTGTTTTAGCATATTCAAGCATACTTGAAAAATTTATTTTCTTAAGATGTTTAACATTTCTCTTTGTAATCTTTTCATACTATTAATTTGCTTGTCAAACATTTTCATCACAGAAGGTAAAAACCTTCAGTTCAGACCTATCCAAATTATTCCTAACTAGATCACAAATAAAAAATACTTCACAGGACTGGACTGAGCTAACTTCATTAGTTTTAGTGAATAATTTCAAACTAAAACTTAAGATCACTTTACTGTGATTTCTGAGCCAAAGTAAAATGGACATACTTTTCATTTTGCAGTTCCTGTATTTTCTTTAGATTTTCTCGATTTTTTTCTTCAATGTCCTCTTTAAGTTCCTTTACCTGAGTTTTATAAAGTGTCTGCAAAACAAGTACCAAGGAGAAATAAGCAGTTTTTATATAGCCAGTTAAAAAAAGAATTCAATTTAATTGTGTAAGATAATCAAGCAAGCTAATAATTTGAACTTAATAACTACAACTTTTAAACATATCAATTCATAAAGTTAATACTGTTTGCAAAACATTTTCCATTTTCTTATTCAAATCTATCACATATTTAATCACATATTTAATTTCTCAACAGCATATACATACTACAAAATTTAATTTAAAAGAATTACTTGACTCTGAAGGTTCTAACACTTCCCAACTTTGATATATATAGTCCTTTAGCCTTTATAATTACACTTCTTTACTGAAATAAAAGGTGGGGAAGGCAAAAGTTAATGCATCATTTATTGCAGTGATACTTGCAAGAAATACTCATGCTGTCAAAGAAACAACCCCTTTAAGAAAGACTTACTTCTTAAGCAGAATAAGAAGAGTAGTTTACATGATGATCATAACAACATAAGTGGACACAACAGCGACATATTTAAGAATGCTGATCAATGACTGCAGGGGACTGCAATTAAAGCATATTGCCTATATCTTATTAGAGAAGTTGTGACATATGAATGTTCAATGAGGCATACATTTTCAGATATGGCCAATATACCTTGCTTAGCAGTATTTTTTTACTCCCGGTGACACTTCAAATGTACATAGGGGAGAAAGTAGGGTAGTATGGCATTGGGAAATGATAATAACTTATGCAAAAAGTGCAGTAATAAGACATTTTTTAAAAGATAAGGAAAAGAAACTTCACTTCTCCAAAGTCACGCTACATGGATGCCTATGGCAATGTAAGTAAAATAAGAATGATGATGATTTGCATGTCCTATAGTGTTTCATTCTATCATTAGGAATTACATTCTCTCATCTTTCTTTTAACCCTGCAATAGTCACAAAGAAAACGTACCTGGAGATGAAAAATAATACTCTGGTTCTAAGCATTATAACCAAGAGTTCACTGTTTCCTACTATACATGCTGATTACTTATTCTTATCTTCTATCTTGCCAAGGCTGGAAGTACTGGGGGCTACTCACGCGCCTGGTCCCACAGCAGCACAGGACCTCTGACCAGCTCCATTTTCTGACTTAGGCTGGTTTTCCCCCAACGTCCCCTTTAGGAAACTTGGTGATCTCTTCTCCCAGGGGCTCACCATATTAATGTATTTTATTCTTATCTTAAGGAGTTTAAAACACAGTATTTTGAAGGGTTTTTATCCCATATACTACCAAATCAGGCAAATCTTGGCCCTCCTGCACAACTTGGACACATTCATAACTCATGTTTGGAAAAAAAAAAAAAAGCTCTATCTCTTAACATAATTAAGAAGTCCGAACAGCTAAAATAAAGAATTTAGTGTGTGTTACTAGATTCTATAGAGAATAACTTGAGAAATTATTTTTTTGTTCATATTAAATGCAAAATACATGAAAACATTTCTTTTTTAAACTGTATCCAGGGTTTTTAAATGCCAGCTTATTCTTATCAAGTGGGCTTTCTGGTTTGTTATGAGAATAGATTTCTATTTTTGTAATATGCAGGGTGTGGGGGAGAGAAGCTAAAGTGGCAACTTATAACCATCAGGAAAGCACAGATTCTTTAAAAATTCTAAATTTATCCCAGAACAGCAAGGCTGCTTTCAGTAGTCAATGATATTTTATTTGATCCTTTTCCCATTAGCAACACAGTAAAATAGGGCTATGTTATCAGTTCAATGCCGTGCAATCATAATACATAATATGACCAAGAACCTGGCAGTTTTTTGAATGTGCTTTTCATCTTTTTAACTAACAAGTGATGTTGGTTTAAATTCAACATACAAGACAGAATTTAATATTATAGACAATTTTACAGAATCAGTACAGTACTGGGAACTTATGAGAAGCAGGGAAATAAAAGATGCAGCTGAATCTTTCATAAGCAATACTGAACTATTTTTTATTTTTACTATGGCAACAATATATTTTTCAGTTTTATATTGAGAACAAAAAGTAGAAAAGTAAATCAACAAAGCATATTAAATAAAATGACTGACAGAACAAGGTATCAAGATAACAAGAGTCTCTTTACCAAACTAGAAGGTACCTCTGGTACATTCAACTTTGTTTATGGGTAAAACCAGATCTTAAAACAACAAGAGTAACTGCCATAACACAAAGTGATACAAAAAAAACTGTGCTGGATAGGACACGTGCAAAGGATAGAGAGCAGAAAGATACCAAAGACAGAAGTATTTCCTTTAATTATCAATCAGATCATCAATTCCTTCCATTCAAAACTACTACATAGATTGGAAATCAAGAGAGAAGCCTTCTGCCTCTGACACTTGATAGGCAGAGCCTTTCACTTCTTAGAAGTATCTAACTACACCATTTTAAGATTTATTTTTACAATTCCTCTATAAAAATCAACAAATCCTTCTATAACTTACTGAAAAATATTGTTCAGCTTCAAGTTGATCCTGTAGTTCCCGCATCTGTCCTTCGTTTCCACAATATTGTCTTCAGAAAAAAGAGAAGAGTCAGTAAATGTATCTGCTTATAATAGGGTAAGAAAAATAGCTGTAGAACCTATTTAAAATAAAAACTGTATTGCTGAAACAGCTCTATTTTAAATATATTCCCATGCTACTAATATATAACTCAATAATTCAGTTAGTTATAGTACTGGTTCCATTTCACCGTTGAAAAAAATACTGCATAATGCTGGGAGGCAAGGGATCTTTTTCTTAGTGAGAACCAACTATCCACAAAGCAAAAAACAAAACAAAGCAAAAAAAATAACACTCAAACCAAAACAATGACTTGGGGATTAATCTTAATTGTAAAAACAACTTAACTGAGTAGTTTGGGGGATTGAAAGAGAAACCCAAAAAAGAACATAAATCTAATTTTAAAAAGCTGAAGTTATATATTATAGTCAGTTAAAGGAAAGAGAAAGAGCAGGAGAGAAGGATGGAGAAACAAAGAGGACAATGACAAAGAAAGAGATAGGCTAATAAGAAAAACAAGCCCATAATGGAAGACACAAAAATAGTGACACCAAAACAGTGACATGCAAAGAGAAAAAGAATGTATATGTGTATATTTCATGAAACAGATTCTCTGTCCAGTCACTGAAAAAATTATTATAACAGCTTCTGAAATAGAGGTAATCTAGAGGTACTACCAGTGGCATCACATTTTAGTGTTTTCCTATAGGCTGCATGAACTGCGAGCTAGATCTTCCTCACTCCTACTATAAAACTCAATCCAGCAGTCAGTTCTTTTGATACATTAAGAGTATTGATACCCTTGAATGGCTGTTTGGGGCTAAGGACTAGAAAGAGAAGGAGGAGGGTGAATTTTTACTCAGTGTACAAAGTATTTATTTTAATTGTGAAACATACAATCTACAAAGTAAGGCAAGAAGGGGCATAATTTATGTATGATTCAGCAGTTTGAAAAGGAGGGATGAAGCTGTTTTCTAAAAAACAGAAAGGCCAAGAGCAGATACAGATTATTTAATTTATTGGCCCTAGGGCTTCTCTTTTATCTCTGTCCTATCACTGAGCTGGAAATTAGGGAATTTGGTGGGAAGCACACTAAATAAAAGCAAAGAATTTGAGTTTGCTATAGGATCTAAAATTTACTGTCTGTACATTAAAGTGCCAATTGAGTTCACATCTCTCTATCATTTATTACTTTTGTGACACTAGATTAAAGTCGCTTAACCTCTCTGGGATCTTGGTTTCTTCAACTATAAAGTGAGGTGGTTTGACAAGATGAGGTCCAAGGTCCCTTCCAGACCTAAACCTATGATCTGAATAAAAAAGAATTAAACCAACTGTCTCTAAAAGATAAGACCTAGTAGCAGTAACCTAGGAAAGGCGGGGGAAGGGTTGTTAACTTAGAAAGTTGTCCCTATAAATATGAAGGAGCAAATGAATTGATGAGACCTTTGTAAATTACAATTTTTTCTGATGATTTATCATCGCAATTTTCTTATGTTTCTCTGAAGTGCTTACTTATTTATTTGCTATTTTCAGGGAGCACAGTCATGGCTCCCCTCCTGAGAGCTAATCTAGATGCTGAAGGGGAGTTGAGGAGAGGGCTAGAAACTGGATGAAATATTTATAACATAGCAAGAACAGTTTGTTGTTCAGTCATTTCAGTTGTATCCAACTCTATGTGAACCCATCTAGAATTTTCTTGGGAAAGATACTGGAGTGGTTTGCCATTTCCCTCATCTCATTTTACAGATGAGGAGACTGAGATGAACAGGGGTAAGTGAGTCGCCCAGGGTCACACTGCTAGTAAGTATCAGCTGCCACATTTGAATTCAGGTCTTCCTGACTCCAGGCCTGGAGCTCTGTCCACTGCGCCATGTAGCTGCCCAGCAAAAGCAGTTAAAGAATCATTAAAATAATCATACCTTTTGACCTAGCAGTTGCAATACTAGGACTTCATCTCAAAAACATCATAAAAAGAGGAAAAAGGTCGAAGTTTACAGAAGTATTCATAGCTACTCTATTTGAAATGTCTCCCATCCCCCAAAAAAGGAAACAGCTCACTATGGTCCAATAACTGGAGGACAGTTGAGCAAACTATGGCATGGAAATATAATACTACTGGTGCCACATAAAGAAAAAAATGGAAGCATACAAGAAAATATGGAAAGACCTACACAGTTATGCAGATAAAAATCAGCAGAACTATCACTGTATACACACTGAAAATTATACTGCAAAAAAGAAAAAAAAACAACCCAAAACACCACAACACAAGCAGCAGAACTTCAGGAAGAATTCAAAGGGATCAAGAACAAAAGCATTTTAAAAGTTATGTGTTAATTTGCTTGATTCTACCTGTTAAATGTGAAAGGTCTGATACAAAATTTTACTTCTTATTATGAATGTATGAATTTTTTGACAGTAAGTTTATAATAAAATTCTTAAACAAAAATTATTTCCAGAAGAAAAATAGGCAGCATACCATCCTATGAATCAACAAGCTTTTAAGGTGACAGTAATCTAACCAATGATGGAACTTGCTATTTTTCTTATTGTTGTGAAGCTATAAACAGGTATTTGGACTAAATCTGGACTAATGACAGAAACAGTTGATTCAGTACAATACATGGACTTTTAACACATGGTTTCTGTGGTGATGATCTATATACATGAATCAAAGTATCTTGCATACAATATACAGCAACAAAAGCTCTCAAGCATATGAGAAAAGGGAAATTTACTTAAAATGTTCATTTTATCAACTTACCTTGTGAGCTGAGCTAGTTCAAATTCCAATAATCTCTTAGCTTCTAATAATGTATTGATCTCTTGTTTCATTTGCTTTTCTAACCCTTTCAAATTGTCCTTCTCAAAAGCTTGAGTTTTCAATTCATTCTGTATCAGTAACCTCTTATTTGATTCTTGCTCCAGCTGCAGTGTTAGATTCTTAACCTATGAATGAAAAAGTACATTTAATCAATTTTAATGCCCATTATGGTTCCCTAACTTATTTGAGGGTATCTAAACACACTTAAAAGACCCTATTAAAAAGAATTTTTGATAAGCCCTACTAGCTTTGAAATCTATCTAATAGTGGGGAGTTTTAAACTTAGGTTCAAAAACCTAACTTCTGCCACCTCTAGGTGTATGGGAATACATTCTAGAATTTTGCTAGGAAATGAAACCAAGTCCACTGGTCTACAGTTTTCAGTCTCTATTTTCTTCCAGCCTCCTGAAAACTGTCAAATGTTCTTTTCCAGTCCTGTGATGTGTTCCCATTCGCCACAATCTTTTAAATATTGCTAACAATAGTTCAATCTTTTTAGCACCTGGGCTTGGTGACTCCAACTCATTAAAAATAGTAGCAGTACAGCAAAATGCTTCATGTAGACTATCTCATTTGAGTCTCACAATGCTGTGACATAGGTACTTTTAATCCCCATTTTACAGATGAAGGAAAAACTGAAGCTCAAAGTGATAAAGTCACTCATCCACGTTCACACAACCAATAAGTTTTAGAGGCTGAATTTGAATGTAGGTCTTCCTAAGATCAGGTCCAGCATTATACTACTTTGTTTTCCAAGCCTAGCCGCCCACCAAGTTAGATGGGCAAAGGGGCTTTCCTGATGTAGTCTCCAAGCAGAAATCTCCATTTCAGAGGTCTGGAGTCCAAGCATCACCCAGTCTCATCGTGGACCAAAACTCTAATATCAAGCTGAATGAATCATTATTGGGAAAAGCAGGGGACTTAGAAAAAGAACAATTTCCCACTGGGAAGATGGGGATCAAATCTCTCTGAACACTACCTTTTCCTTCTTTTAAAATTTTTTTTTTATTTTTAGGCAATGGAGGTTAAGTGACTTGCCTAGGGTCACACAGCTAGTAAGTGTCAAGTGATTGGTCTGAGGCTGGATTTGAACTCAGGTCCTCCTGACTTCAGGGCCAGTGCTCTATCTACTGCACCACCTAGCTGCCGCACCACCTTTTCTTTTAAGCCATTTTATACCTTAAGGGAGTAAAGAAACCTTTTGTTTGATGACAGCAAGAGCTGCACAACCTTGTTCACTCTATATAAGCTATGCTGCCAATGAAGAAAAACACCGAGTTCTACAGAAAGCCAACCTGGGTGGGGAGGCAGGTGGTTCAGGGGCATGGATATTCTAAGTGATGGGTTTCCATACATGAAAGCGATCATATAAATGGTCTAAGAACATTTATTTAAACAATTAAAGTAAGTCTAAAGTTGACAGATATGTTTGGAGTCAAAGATGAAAATGGTTACAAAATTACAGATATTTAAGTTACTCCTTGCCTATTAGAGAGTAAAAACTCAAAACTGCTTTATGAGATATATATAATATATATATCTATATATATATCTATATATATAGATATATATATATAGATATATATATAGATATATATATAATGTAGAGCTACAATCTGAAGTCCTCTCATTTTGATCCACTGAGTTTCCAAATCATGTATCAATATACATGTGTGAGAAGTTCCAGAATGTGTGAGAAACACACACACACACACACACACACACACACACACACACACACACACGACACAAAGGAAGCTAGTTACTCTTACTCTTCCTATTTACCTTGGGTTTCAATTCCCTCTAAGCCCTTTTGGGGCTTGACCTTTTCATATTATCCTTAGCTTTCCTCACCAGTCACAGTTCTGAGTTTTATGGTTGACAATCATTTCAGCACTATGCCATATTTTTGTATTTAGCCTACTGACCATGTTTGCTTCTATCTTCTGTAAATTTATAAAAACAAATATTGGTTATTTAGTTCCATGTGTACCTTAGTTCCTTTATAATATTTAACTCCTTCCTTCCTTTTCTTTCTCATGAGAATTATTCCTTTTCCTTTCTTTAAAACCTTAGAGCTTCATATTACTTCCAGGCTGACTTCCCTTGGAGAATTTTAATCCATGATGCTATGTATCCCTGTCCATGAAACATCTGAAATCTAATTTTCCCAAAGCTAGTGTCTATGTCAAATTTTGTTCAGTTTTCCTCTTCTCTATCACAAATTCTAAGGTGGACTAGGCACTTTCTCCTCTCCTTCCTCCACCCCTCTCCCCCATCAGGCCTTTGTTGGTGATAATCAGGTACAGAGTAGAAGTTCCTCTAATTTCTTGCTCTACTTTTTTTTTGCCCTTTTTTTTTCTTTTGGTGAGGCAATAGGGGTTAAGTGACTTGCCCAGGGTCACACTCATGAAGTATCTGAGGCTACATTTGAACTCAAGACCTCCTGACTCCAAGACCAGAGCTCTATTCACTGTGCCACCTAGCTGCCCCTTGCTCTACCTTTTAAAGGATGAAAATTAGCCCCCATCCCTTACCCCTTAAAGGGAGGAAATTATCTGCTTTGCTTTTAGCAGAAAGAAAAATTCAATAGCTGTCCAGACATTAATAGTCTTCATCACTGCCTTTATGACAGTCTTACAATTTGTTTTCTGAATTCATCTATTTCCTCTTTCTGTCCAGGTATCCATATCAATGATAACACTGTTTCTGTTTCTGCCTCCACTTATTTTGACCCAAATGCTTGATAGCATGCAGTTCTCCAAATTTCCCTCTGTCTTGTTCCTGAATCTATTCATACCTAGTCTTTTAACTATTCAATTCCTTCTAAATAAAGTATATTCTCTGAGAGCTGTATTTCAATCATGGGTTTCATCATCCCAAGTCTTGAGTTAAATCTTTCTCCTTAGTTAGGATCACTAGACTTATCCATTCTTCAGATACAGCTATACTGAGTTATGGATTTACTGTTGGCTTGATTTATAGATTTTTCTCATAACTCTACCTAAGAAGTTATTGTTCTTACTCCATTACAGATAGCATCTATCACATCTAGGCTTATGGATATACATGAGCAGTTTTCTCCCTTCCTCTTCTTTTTATTTTAACACCCTTTTGATTAGATTTTCAAGATTCCAGGAAAACAGAGTCTTATTAGTGTTTGTTAGGTATATTCTATCTTTAAACAAGAGTCTTTCACTTATTTTAAATAAAAAAATCTGAATCCCATTCTCAGAAAACCTTTTTTAAAATAAGGTTATTCATTTCCAAATGTGCCTTTCTCTTCTGAAGTCCTTGTATTTGATAAGCAGCAGTGAGGAAACTACCACCCAAACCCCTAAGGTCTTCAGTTCCTTTCCCAAGATCCAACCATCTTCAGTAATGCTTTCTAGGAGTATCATTCATACCCATGTAAATTTTTTTTTTAAGTAGTGAAAATAGGGTTTGAAAATATGTGAAATGTCACATCCTGAAAACATGCCTGAGCAAGACTATAGGTCTCATTTGCTAATAAATGGCAGATGGACTGAAGCAGTGAAAGAGTTGAGGCAAGAAATAGTCAAGGAACTTAAACTAAGGTGGTAGCTCTGTGAGTGGAGAGAAGGGGTGTATACGAGATGCTGTAGAAAAAGAAAATACAGGATTTGACAAATGAATGGATATGTAGGGTGAGAAATCTAGGATGACACATGGGTGAGCAGTGTATCTTCAGCAGTAAGTGGTTTTGGAGAAGAGTTAGGTGGTGGGGCGGGGGGGGGGCTGGCAAAGGAAAATGATGAGTCCTGCTTTAGACACAAGAAGTTTGAGATGTGGGATATTCAGTTCAAAGTATTCAGTGGCAGTTGGTGATGTGAAACTTGAGCTCTGAATAGAGACTAGGGCTAAATAAACAGATCTAGGAATCACTGTGCACACAGATAATCAATGAACCCGTGGAAGCTGATGAAATTACTACATGAGGATATATATATATATGTATATAAACACACACACACACACACACACACACACACACACACACACACACACACACACACACACACAAGAGAACCCAATACAGAACTTTAGGAGATAAAAGTTAGTGACCATGGCACAGATCTCTCCCATTCTAATCCATCTTCTACAGAGCTACCAAAGTGATTTTTCCTAAAGCATAGGACTAACCATGCTGACCTCCCTCAATAAACTCCAATGGTCCTTTAATACTTCTAGGATCAAATATACACTGTTTGTTCTGCATTTAAAGCTCTTTGCAACCTGGTCTATCTTTCCAGTTGTTTATTTAATATATATATAGTGTTTTCCTCCATATACTCTGTGGTCTAGCCATACTTAACCCACTTGCCAATCCTCACTCATGATGCAATCCCTCCTGCCCTCTGCTTTTTAGAGTCCCTGACCCTCTAAGCTTCAGCTCAGGAACCACCTCCCATAGGAGGTTCCCTATTAGTCCTCCAGTTGCCAATGCTTTTCCATTTGCTCTGTATTTATCTTCTGTGTTTAATGTATATGTTGTTTTGCCCTTTATAATGTAAGCTCCTTGATGGCAGAGACCAGTTTTTGGTTTTTTTCTTTTTATTCTCAGACCTTAGGACAGTGCCTGGAATACAGTAACTGCTTAATAAATGTTTAATGACCTATTGATTCCTGATTCAAAGGTTCACTATTCAAAGCTAGGGCAGGTAATAAACAGAAAAGTATGACGAGGTCTTTCAACAACAGCTTAAGTAGTGCTAAAACTGATGAAAAAAGGAAAGATAAAAGGTTTTTTCCCTGAAGCTACAGTGGGATTATAAAGGAGATCTTTTTTCATGTACAAGTTGGACTTGATTTCCTCTGAAATCCCTTCCAATTCTGAGTTTGTGATTCTGTCACTTATCTAACATATTAGCTACAAAATAAAGTGTTTTAAGCCAAATTAAATCAATCCATATACTCTAAGTTAAATCTCTTCTGATATGTATACTTGCTCTTTTTCATATGATTTTTTTAGTTAGTTAAAAATGACAAGGGGCAGCTAGGTGGCGCAGAGGATAGAGTACTGGCCCTGAAGTCAGGAGGACCTGAGTTCAAATCCTGCCTCAGACCAAACACTTGACACTTACTAGCTATGTGACCCTGGGCAAGTCACTTAACCCCAACTGCCTTAAAAAAAAATGACGTGTTTAAATACTATGTTTTATATTTCACTTCAGAGTACAGCATATCTTATAAGCAAAGACTATTTTATCAGACAGTAAGTTTCTCTAAAGTTGGAGGTGAATTTCTTTCATATTGTCTTATGTTCACAATGCTTAAGAAAATGGACAGTTTATAAGTGTTTACTGATGCCAAATTTTGTAAGAAGTTCTCAAATCAATGAACTCAGAGATCTCCCCTATCAAAATACTTATTGGTAACAAATATCAGGTGCCACAGGTCCTCTCCTTTCCCTACCCCAGCATACCAGCTACCTTGATCTCACCAGGCACTAAAAGCTCAGCAGAAGAGATAGTATTGGGAGCCCTACATCCCAACTTTTCTGTGAATACCCTTTCTTCCCCTTCCCCACTCCTGGCTACTGCTGTTTTCCCCCAGCTCCCCTTCCCTATACCACCTACATCCCTAAAGGAAGGAATCCAGAGTTTTCTCTCCACTCAAATCTTTGGGCTCTCTCTGTTTCCCCCTTTTCAACAATTATGGGCTAGACTGCTCTAGCTTTCTGACTCTGAAGAGCAGACATGGCCACTCACACTGTTTGCATGAACAGGGAATAACTAACTACAATCCTCCCAGGGAGAGGGAAGACCACTGGGCCTCATCATATCACTGACTGCCTTCTGGACCTCCACACATTGCTATCTTACCTGCTGAGGCACCCTTAGAGTCACTGGGCCTTGCTGTTTGTCCAGAAGCTGAACCTTCCTATATATGCTGTCTCCCCTTAATTAGAATGTTAGCTTCTTGATAGCAAGGACTGTCTTTTGTGTTTGCTAACCCAGCACTTAGCACAGTCCTTGAAACACAGTAAGCACTTCATAAATCCTTTTTCATTCATCATTCACTTATAAACAGGCATAGCTTAATATCAAGCTATCTCCTTAATAAAAATTATGCTATTTTAATTGATAACATAGTTATCTTCCTCATTCACAAACTTTAATATATAGCTGTTTTTGTTTCATAATGAGAACAAAGACAATAGCATCCTTTTTTCTTACTTCATCCTCCATTCTTTCTTTGTGTTCTGCCAAATGCTCCAGTTTCTGCTGAGACTGTTTCAAGTCGACATCTAACATGGAACACTGCTTTTCAATGTGAACAACTCTATTTTCGGCTCTCTCTCGTGCTGCTCTCTCTTCCTTCAGTTTCTTTTCCATTTCTACAAAATGATGGAATTGAATTAGTTCTTAACAATTACATTAGCTTTTAACAAGAGACAATTTTGTTACTCCTTATTCAAAATAGTTCAATCAGCAAAATGCATGCCAACTGTTTCTAAGATCTATGACAACATGAAATATCATTAACAAGTTTCTGCATAGTTGAGTGTTTTTGTAGGCAAATCATTATAGGAAGTACAAAAAAAACTGAATAATGTAGTAGACTCTTCCATGTACAGACTAGCTCAAAGGTTATCCATCATTTATCCAGAACCTTTTGGTTATCAGGAGGCAGAGAGCAAGTCGGAAATATATACTGAACACAGTCTTCATTCCAAGTCAAAAGAGGGGAAAAAGAAGATGAAAATTAGAAATGAAGTAGCAGCTAAAATTGAAGGCTAAGCAAGGACTAATCATCTTTGTATTTTCCATATTGCCTAGTACATAACAGATAACCAACAAATATTTAACTTACAGTAAAAATGAATGTCTTTTCTCATGGCAGATTTTGCTTTCCAAATTGTAAGCACTTAACATTTAAAAAATAAACTTCATTGATGCCTTTTATTGTTACATAATCATTTCTAGGCACTGCACACTCCACACATTTTCTTTTTAAAAACTAATGCCTTTTGTTTTTATATCACATTCACTTCTGAATATATCCTTCTCTACATCACATGTATGTATGTATGCATGCACGTATGTGTGCACCTACACACACATACACACACAGTCTATACAATGTAAATGGGTGGTAATCTCAGAAAAAAGGAAAACACAATAGTAGAGAAGACCAGGAAAGGTCTCTTGTAGATGGTGGCATGTGAGGTTAGTCTTGAAGGAGATCTGGGAAGCCAAGAGGCACAGGTCAGGAGGATAAATATTTCAGGCATGGGGACCCATGTCAGTGAAAAGGTATGAATTCAGAAGGTGAGATGTCATGTGTAAAGAACAGCAAGTTGGCCATACTACTGGATTGTAGAGCTGATGTTGGAGAACAAATTAAGACTACTGGAAATATAAGAAGCAGATGGTGAATGGTGTTAAAATGCCAAATTAGTTATTTTATATTTGATCCTGGAGATAATAGTTGCTAGAGTTTACTAAGGTAGCAGACAAGGTCAGACTTGTACTTTAGGAAGCTCAGTTTGGTAGTCAAATGAAAGACGGGCTACAGAAAGAGATGTGAGGTGGGAAGACCAACCAGAAAGCTACAGCAATAGCTCGAATACTCACTCTCACTCTCACACACACACACACACACACACACACACACAGAGAAATGTGAAATGACTAAGGACTGTAACAGGGGGAAGAGAAACCTCAAAGTTGTTCTACTTTGAATTTCTCTTATTACTAGAGATTTTGGTGCAAACATTTATTTGGTTGTTAATAGTTTGCAACTCTTTTCTTGTGAACTGTTTCTTCATATCTTCTAACAGCTTACCCAATGAGGAACAGATCTTGGTCTTCTATATTTGTGTTAATTCCCTTCTACCTTGGATATCAGATTCATATCAGAGATACATGATGCATCAGTTTTTTTTTAATTACTTGTTTCTGACTTTATCTCAGCATATTAATTTTGCTCTTGTAAAAAGCTTTGCAATTTCAGGTAATCAATATATGATCTATTTTACCTTTTGTTTTGTTAAGGATTTTCTCCCCAAATTAGCAAAAACATATATACATGTATATGCATACATATACACACATACTGTGTTTTCTCTTGCAACACGGCTAATATGGAAATATATTTTGCATGACTTTACATGTGTAATCGATACCAAAATTGCTTGTCTTCTCAAAAAGAGGGAAGGAGGAAGAGAATTTGGAACTCAAAATTTTTAAAAATGAATATTAAATTTTTTTATATTCAAGTGGGAAATATTTAATGAAATAAAAATGTATTACACATACTCTGTGTGTGTGTGTGTTTGCTTGCTGTGTTTAACATTTGTTAGATAATGGCCAAAGAAATTGTGGTATACAACTATGACAGAATATCACTGCACTTTAAGAAAAGATAAAAAATGGAATTTAGAAAAGCACACGAAAGATTTATATGAACTGATGCAGGGTCAAGAACAAAGTACCAAGAAAACAATACACAAAATGATGACAACATAAACAAAAGACTCCTTCCCCTCTCCCCACCCCCGGCCCAAATCGAAAACTGTATAATTATAATGAACAATTTTGGTCCCAGAGAAAAGTCAAGAAAAAAATATGTCCCTCTTTTCTTTGAAGAGGACAGGCATTATAAGTTTGGAGTTTTATATGACTGTCAGAATCAATTAATGTATTGGTTAATTTTGCTAAACTGATTTTTTTTCTTTCTTTTTTTATTCTTTGTTAGAAGAGATGGCTCGGTAGAAGATAGGTTAAGAAACATAATTAGGAAAAGGGTGATCAAAAAACAAAAGATGTAAAAATAAATAAATTTTAATATGTTGGGTTTTCTTTTGAGAATTAAAATACTGATATCTGATTGGAACTATAGTTGGTCAAAATACAAAGTTCACAAATATTATTTAAAGCTATCAGCATTCTGCTAATTTTATGGGGAAATAAAAAAATTAACACTTACCACACATTGCAACTGATTTTGCCTCTTCAATAGATTGATGCTTGTCAGTTAAACGGGCTTTAGTCACTTTATGCTCATTTACTTCCTGTTCTAATCTTTGCTGTAACGATTTTAGCTTGTAGTTTAAATCTATTTCCAAATTATTCTTTTCCTGCAATATAGGAGTAAGTCATTATGTAGTTACAAACTAAAAACTGCCATAGACCTCAAATATCAGCTATTCTCATCATTAATTATATGAAATAATGATAGCATATTTCATTAGATAGTTTTCCTTCCTTAAAACAGCTCCTAATGAACAATATCAATAACAAAAATCAAGGAATTTTTTTTCCTTTGAATAAACATTTTTTTTTGTCCTTTGGAATAGTCATCTATGTGTACAGAAATGTTCTTAGGAGCTTAAAGAACATCAAGCAGATTCATAGCTAGAAACAAATGAATATCACAATTCTTTATTTCTAATTTGTTGCTTCTTTCCTTATGGGTCATGGCTGGGTATGTTTTGGCAGAAGAGAAGCAAAAAGTATCAATGAAAAACTTGCCATTCTTCTTGGACAGGAAAACAATTTACACCCATTGGGATACATTGTCTCAATCTAACCTAACCCTGATTTCTGGAGCCTCTTTAACCAGCTATATCCTCTATTCCTTCTCTCTTCATTACTAGGCAAACTCAACTGGATACTTGAATTTCTAGTGAACCCACACAATCCTGGTGGGAACTGAGGAGAAGAGGGAGAAGGTTTGTCATAGGGATAACACACATTGCACCGAGATGGATATGCAGTATTTGGTTGTTCTTTTTGTTGGAAAACCAGGAAACAACAACCAAAAAACATGAAATTTGCAAGATAAGGAAATCTTAAATATTTTCAATTACTAGGCATTTTTACTTCTGCTTCTCTCTGTTTCTCGCACACAAACCCTTTCACATAAGATATAATTCCTTACTTGAAGCACTTTTTCCTCTCATTCATGTTTTAAAATTTGACAAAATATCTCCAAATAACACAAAAATATTTTAAACTTAAAATACAGAACCAGACATTATTTAATTCTTCCTTTTCACAGATTTAAATATTTACATTTTAGGAAGTTACTATTACTCAAAATAGCAATATCAAAAATATGTTTTTAATCTACTAATGTTATCTCCAAAAACAAAGTGAGATGCTTCCTTTCATACCTTTTCTGAATGATTAAGCATGTCTTGAGCCTCTTTTCTTTCCCCTTCCATTCTTTCAAGATTATGTTTAAGGTGTTTAACTTCCTCTTGTAAAGACGTAATTCGAGCTAACAAGAAAAAAAAAGGAAAAAAACATAAATACTCTGGATAGCATAAATTTTGCTTTGTTTGTTCCTCATCCAGATTAATCTGAATCAGAAAATATCCCTAATCAGATAAAAGTTATTCAGTATATTCATGCATAGACAAATGCAGTTTAGGTGCTATAAATGTAAAACGGAAAAAAAACCACCCAACCAAAAAATACTAGAACATGTTATCACCTAATATTAGTCTTTTCCTACAGGTAAATTTCTCTCATAGCTTTTCTGAATCTATTAATCTGAGGTTACCTATAGGTTATAGGTACAAACCACAAAACATGTCACATTCATATAGAACTTTAATGGATATGAAATGCCTTATATACAGTAACCAATCAACAAGCAATTATTAAGCACCTACACTGTGTCAGGCATTGTGTTAGACCCTGGGGACACAGAAAAGTAACAATTCTTGACCTCCAGGATTTTACAGTCTAGTAGGAGAAGACAACATATACATAAATAAGCATATATAACTTGGGAGGAGGGAAAAGCAGAGGTGTGTAGAAGATCCATTACAGGTATGGGGACAGCCGACACTGAGAAGGAAGATGAAGAGCCATGTTAATGTCACACTTCCTCCCTCTTGCCTCCCCTTTATGTCCTCTGACAAGGGGTAGGGATTTAAATCCTCTCCTTTCCATTTCTTCCTAGATGTTATATTTTTGTGGTATAAATGACAAACGACCCCTTTCTTTAAGAATCCCTTTTTATGCAATGACCTTGCTCTGAGCTACTCCACACACACAAAAAACATGGTATAATTATTTTTTGTTTTCAGCCTATGCTAACTCTTGGTTAAAACAACAAATTATGATCAGAAACGAAAGATTAGACTACATAAAGAACAATAAAGCCAGGATTAGAAGAATGTGTGTACTGGCTGAAAAGAGTAGATATAATTTAGGAGGGATTTATAATTAATGAATAAGCATTTATTAAAGGAAACCATGATCAATCACAAAATCAAGTTCTTTTTGAAAAGATTGCCATTTAAAAGTTTAAAAGTTTTAAAGTGGAACTAAAATGATAAAAGAATGCTGAAGTCATCTGTCGTGGATATTCTATAAGTAAGTATTAAGGCCTATATTATGAAGCCTTCTAGGAAACTTTCAGGAAAATAAGTATTAATGTCACCAATGACTTTTTTGTTTTATTTTCTGTAGTCAACCAAGAGGTTAATTTGTGTCTTTGTCTAATTTAAAGCACATCCAACTTATTATTTCCCAATTCTGAAATGCTTCCTGCTACATTTTAGCTAGTAACATATGTTTGCACTGACATAATATTTTATGGCCTATAAAGTAATTTCCTTTAAACTCTGTGCAGTAGATACTTTAGAGGGGGAAGAAGTGAAGCTCAGAAAGGTTAAGCTCTTTATTACTAGTAAACGTTAGAACTGGGCCTTGAACTTATTTTTCTAACTTCAAAAGCAGTTCTCTTTCTACCACACTACTGCTTACTACAAACCAAATTATGCGCTCCATCAGGACAGAGGCCATATCTAAGCTTTGTACATATCAGACATAACAGAGCAAAATTATGTCAATCTTTAGGCAACTGATTCATTATAAAACCATGTAAATAAATACTCAATATTCTTCTCTGTTATCTAAAAAACAGCTTCTAATCAGAGGTGAATGGAGTAGGTGGTAAAAAAATCCTCTTGGCTTTTTGATGCATAAAGTTAACACTTCTCATTGGTTCCAAGGTAACACAAAATGTACCTAAGTAGACGATTAATGTGATAATTTAAAGGTGTCAAGCATCATACTGTGATACTACAATAGAGTTGATTTTCTCTTGCTACGCTCTGGGATATTTTAAACCTCTAGCCCTGAAAATGATCTAGTTTGCTGTGATAACTTCAGAACCAATGGGATGCCCTACTTTATCTGCTTTCATAACCACAGAAATTAAATTTTATTGGTACTTATTAAATACCTAGGAGAAGGCACTTTGTTAGGCATTTTAGCAGATAAAATGACAAGTAAGACATATTTTCTGCTCTCAAAGAACTTACAATTTACCCTGGCGATTTTCTCCATGGAACTAGAGTTTAATACCAAACCTAACTTAGAAGCCTTACCCTATGCTTCCATACCACGATAAAGGATTAAACATCCCTTTTTTCCTGTGTGTTATTTTGCTATTGCCATATTTACCTATTCTACCGTGTCACGGTTGGCCTTAAAAGAAAAGAGAAGCATTTGGGAAGAACTGGACTAACAAAATCAGATATATCTGAGGCAATGATGTTTTGTTTCTATTCTTAAACCAGTACTTCTAGGTCTTACACTCCTTCGTCCTTCTCCTCACACAGAATTTCCTTAATACCTTTAGCACAACCCCTCCCAAATATTACTCTCTGCGTACAAAGGCTTCAACATCCACATTCTAATTCCTGCTGACATAATACAGAGCATAAAGCCATTCTCAGTCCTTAGTCCCTGGGTAGGTAACACTCCTTGGTGGTACATGACAGTTCCTGATTCTAATCTCATTGACTATAAGTCTTGTGTGATTCTAAGGAAGTTATATAATTTCTGTTCTGCAGTTTCCTTATTGGTAAAGCCATGTATTTTTCCATTTGTCTACCTTCTGGGTTTTACTTACCCTAGTGAGGGCAAAGTGAATTTTTTTTTAAGGCAATTGGGGTTAAGTGACTTGCCCAGGGTCACACAGCTAGTAAGTGTCAAGTGTTTGGTCTGAGGCCAGATTTGAACTCAGGTCCTCCTGACTTCAGGGCCGGTGCTCTATCCACTGCGCCACCTAGCTGCCCCGGTAAAGTGAATTTTAAAAAAAATTAAATATTTTAAGAACAGGTGGTGGCATTATGCCTTGAGTACACTTGAGTGCTGGGGTTGGAATCAGAAAAACCTGGACTTAAATGCTTCCTTGACATTCATTAGCTATGACTCCAGGTATACATTACTTCCTGTGCTTCAGGTAACTCTAAAATATATCTACTAAGAACCACAATCTGCACTGATGGAGGGAGTTACAATACCAAGAATTCCTCCAAGCCGATAAAGATCAAAGACTCTTTGTGTATTTGAGGAGTATAAGTCAAAAAAGGAATTATTACTCTGAAAGAAATTAAACTGCACCCACTTCTGGTTTCACCAAAGTACTCGGATCTGTACTTTTATTGAATGCTTTACCTTGGAGATCTCCAATCATCTCAGATCCATGACTTCGGTCTCTCCGTTCAGCTTCTAATGCAGCCTGAAGCTGGTAATAATCTTTGTCCACTTGTGATTTGGTTGTCTCTAAAATTCTGTTTCGCTCTTGCAGGTCTCTGTTCAGGGACTCTAACTGACTTACTGATTTGCTTAATTCTGTGTGGCTCTTTCTTAACCTTGCTGCTGTGTCCGATTCTGTCCTCAGTAAGTCGTTGGCTTCTTTCAGCTATTAGGAGAGAGACAAATGGGTCTTAGCTAAAGTACAAATTAAAACCACAAAACTGTGGTTTAATTAATATTAATTAAATTAATTAAAAATTAAAACCACAACACCAAAAAAAAAAATTGATTGCAAAAAGAAGCCTCACTTGCTTCTGTAACTGTGCCATTTTCTCATTTGTAAGCTGAGAATTCTGACTAATTTTCTTCAGGTCCTCCAACTGATCTTTTAATGTAGAAACTAGAAAAAAATGAACATAATATTTTAAAATTTCTCTCAGAAAAATAATGCTAAATTATTTTTAAAAATAGCAAATATAGTCATAGACGATGAATTAATCCACATTAGTCTTCCTCTATCAGGCTTCAAGACAAAAGATCTTGATTTCACAATGTAAAACTAAAAGCTGATTCCTAATTATGCTGCTACAGTACACACATATACATACTTTATCACTTTGCATTTAAGTGCCTACAATGTGCTAAAGCACTCCTTGCTAAAAGAGAAGACTTCTATATAAACTTAATTCATACTGGACATCTTCTGAATTACTTTAAGGAGCCAGGACCTTATTACCACAATGAACATCTTCATCTAAAACACAGTGTCATGGCACAGATCTTCAACCACAGTGTATTCCAAAAGTGCAGCTTACCCTCATTTTCAACATTCCGTCTCTTCTCATTCTCCTGTTCTATTTTTCTTTGGTACTCATTAACTCTGTGCTGCAGCAACATTTTCTCTTTCTCAATCTGAGACACTGTGGATTCTAAATTTTTTCTCTGATTTCCCTGAAATAAGAAATGTTAGTAAGATTTCTTACGTTATTGCCAATTTTCATTTATTTAAAATTTTTTGAAGGTAGCCTTAAAAAAATCTATTAAGGATTATAAGACATTTAGAAGCCAAAGAGATAGGTTTGGTTTTGTTATTTTTTTTTAATGTGAGAAAGAACTTTAGAATAACTAGAACTCTGTAACACTGAGCTGCACGTCCGCTGCATGAGACAGAGAATTTCAGCATTAGAAGTAAAACCTCCACAGTGGATAGAGCACTGGCCTTGAAGTCAGGAGGCCCTGAGTTCAAATCCAGCCTCAGACGCATAATACTCACTAGCTTGTGACTTCAGGCAAGTCGCTTAACCCCAACTGCCTCCGGAGGAAGAGGAGGAGGAGGAGGAGGAGGAGGAGGAGGAAGAAGAAGAAGAAGAAGAAGAAGAAAAATCTCTTGGAAATGGGGGAAAATCTTTAACTGTTTTTCTATTTTTTTCTTGAATTTAGGAAAAAATGGAAATATATGCAATGCTTATTCCTTCTGGTGATCTCTACAGACCTACAGCGTTAATATAAAAACATGGAAAAATATATCATCTTTTTCTGCTCACAAAATTATTGTTTGGCATATTAAATTTAAAAGGATCATTTTAATCAAGATAATAATTCCAAATGTACTGGATGAATAAAAAAGTAAACTAAATTAGTAATTTAATTATTCCTCAAATTTGTTACAAAATGAGCTAAAATTTGCTAAATTTTAATCAATAGAGCATCTTAGTTTTCTTTGCCAGTTTCTAAGCAGACAAAAACTTGACAATGGAATAGAAATCAAAATCACAGTAAAACAAAGTTACTATATTTTCTGTACTCAATGTCCCATCACTCAGATGCAAAAACCAAAGGAACAGAGGAAGAAAAATAATTCAATAAATATATTTTTTTTGCCACATCAAATTCTATCTCATCAGTTTCATGTTCTGAGCCATCACTACTAATAACCTGTTCTAATGAATAATCTCATAATGGACTTCTAACGTCTGAAAGTGTGCTTGGATTGAGACATTCTACTTCTTTACGCGTTTGTTTATTTCTTGATGTGTTATCATTTAAACAGATCAATTCCTTTCACAAGCAACAGAAACCTGAGAAGCATAAAGAGTGATAGGCTGGGAGCCAAGATGTCCAAGTAGCAGGAAGCAGTACAACATACTTCTCTCCACTCAACCTCCTGTACCTGCCTCAACTTCTCAAAACAGACTAGAAAGTGCACCTGACCAAATCCTGATGGGGAAATCCAAGAAAAAGTCACAGTAAGTCTTTTTTTCCAGCCAAAGTTGGCATAGGGAAACAGAAAGATCTAAGGACATTTTGATGGGGATGGGGTCTGTCCAGGAGCAAAGTACCAAGAAAAGGCTGCGTACTGGGGCAAGAGGAAGTCTCAGACTCACATGTAGGCACCCTCAGACCCATTCCAGGAGAACAATGAGAACAGATACTGACTGACAGCTTTGTTGCCTAGTACCTAGCTCTGGGTCACAGATCCAGGGAGGTAGCATTTTTATAAGGAACAGTCGAAATCAGTGAATAGTATACTGAGAAGGAACAACTTCAGAAGCAAGCGGCAGCTGTGCAGCTCAGACCCCCAGGAAGAGAGTGAATCTCAGTTCCAGCTTCTAGCCCAGTCTAGAAGCCTGCAGAAGAACAATCAGGGCAGGAAACACAGCCCAAAATGAGGCTTGCACACTGCTGTCACTCTGAACCAACAAAGGTTCCCAGATGGCTGATAGGGGCTGAGACTAGCGGCTGTCTGCTGTTACTTAGACCCAAACCCAAGTCAGGAATTTACAGAACTCAGACCAAGGGGTCACCAATCAGACTTTGCCCTAGATCAGAACACATAGTGAGCACGGAAAACTTACAGGTCTCTGGCATGAGCTGTCCCTCACAGCCTGGAATAACACCAAACAATATCTCAAGAAAGCAATAGCAGGGCCAGCCCAGATATTCCCTCCAGAAATGCACAGAGCCTGGCCCTAATACCAAGTCAGGAAGGAGACTGGAAGAAATGGGCAAACAAAAATAACAATCCCATCATAAAAAAACTATTATAATGACAGAGATGCTCAAGATACAAATCCAGATGAGAATGAAAGTCTCAAAGAAAAACAGCTTGGGCACAAATTCAATTAGAATTCCTGGAAGAAATGAAGCAAAGCTTAAAAAAAGAGTTTAAAAAATTGGAAAATAAATGAGAGCCACAGAAGAAAGAATTATAATTGGCATTAAAAATTTCAAACAAGAGGCACAAAATCTTGCCCAAGTAACAAATTTCATGAAAACTGTTGTTGCTGTGTCCAACTCTGTGACTCCATTTGGAATTTTCTTGGCAGAGGGAGTTGAGTGCTTTGCCATTTCCTTCTCCAGCTCACTTTACAAATGAGGAGCCAAAGCAAACAGAGTTAAGTGACTTGCCCAGGATCACACAGCTACTAAGTGTCTAAAGCCAGATCTGAACTCATTAGATGAGTCTTCCTGACTCCAGGTATGGCACTCTATCTTCTGCACCACCTAGCTGTCACTGAAAATTAGAATGGATAAAACAGAAGCCAATGACTTCACAAGGTAACAAGAAATATTAAAACAAAGTCAAAAGACTGAAAAAAAACTGAATGTGTCTTATGACAAAAACAATTGCAAGAAAAAAAAAATTAAGAATCACTGGATTACCTGAACACTATGATCAGAAAAAGAATCAAGGCATATTTCATGAAATCTCAATGAGAACTCAAAGTAACATTATAGTCAAAATTTAGAGCTTCTAGGTCAAAGGAAAAAATACTACAAGAAGCCAGAAAAAATGAATTTAGTTACCAAGGAGCTACAGTCAGAATACATGATTTAGCAATCACCTCTGTAAAGGAACGAAAAGCTTGGAATGTTACTCCAGAAGACAAATGGCATAGACTTGCAGCCAAGAATATAACTTATCCAGCAAAACTGAGCATAATCCCATAGGGGGAAAAATAAAACTTAAATGAAATAGAGAATCTGTAAGCATTCCTGAAGAAAAGACCAGAGCTGTGTATAAACTATGAGAGGGCAGGGGGAGCAGCTGATACCTGAACCTCATTCTCCTCTAACCTGGTCAGAGGAGGAAAGAACGAACACATACACACCACACACAGTTGAGTATAGAAATACATTCACTCATTAGAGAAATGGGAGAGAAAAGGGGGAAGTGGACTTAGAGGGAGGATAAGTTAAGGGAGAGGTTAGTCCTAAGCAAAACAATAAAGGTGTATGAAAATATTTATAGCTCTTTTTTTGATGCAAAAATGAATGGGAACCTGGGAGGAGGAAATGTGATGGAATATTTTTGTGCTGAAATGCTGAAGGGGATGGTTTCAGAGAAACCTAGGAAGACTTGTACAACCTAACAGAGTGAAGTGAACAGAACCAGGAAAACAATTTATACAATAAAGTAAAGACAAGTAACTTTGAAAGAATCAGGAATTCAGATCATGATGAGACACACTATCTACTACTTGACAGAGAAGTGAAGGACTCAAGAGTGCAGAATGAGACATATTTTTGGACATGATCCAAATAGAAATTTGTTTTGTTTAACTAAATGTAACAGTGGTTTTGTTTTTCTTTTGTTCTGATTTGGGAGCAGAACTGGAATAGGAGGGAGAAAAGTCTGGTTTTTGTTGATTAAAAAAATAAACTTTGAATGAAATATAAAATAAAAAAAGAATCTGTTAAGTTATTAAAGAAATCAATTTATTAAATGCCTTCTTGTTATCCATGTATTTGTTAAACATAAATAGTTCTTTCATCAAAAAAGGAAGAGGCTATGCCATATAAAATCTCTGCCACCATTTCATAACAATTATACTGGGCAGAGTAATAGATATTACAGAATTAAAATGGAAGGGAGATGAAAGTTATATCAATTCATTTTGCCTAATTTGTACAGTACTTCGCAACTCCTGAAAATATCTTTCTAACATCAAATGCAAAGTGCACTGTTTGTTCTATGGCTTGGCTGGATATGGTAGCTGTTATCACCACGCATATATCATGTCTTGCACATCTCAAATTATGTAGATTAGAAGCATAAATGTACTACTATTAAAATTCTCAAGATACTCATTTATTATTTTTCCTCAAAGAGTTTACTGGATTTTTAATAAGCTTAAACAATATTGCTCCTTTTCTTCAAAGCTCACTACCTCAGATTTTCCACATCATGATTTTATTCTTTGCATCCTCTCATTTCTGTTGTTTCTAAGAGTGGAAATACTATATAACTTCTTTCATTCCTCCAAAGATTTCTGGTGTCCAACTTTATGCTATTAAGAGGCAAAAGGAAGGCCCTCCGTACATGTCTTTTTGAGTAACACTTGGATAGTTATCCAGTATGTACTGTCTCACTGACTTTATGCTTTAGGTTAGAAACCTAGGAATCAAGTTACAACTTCTTTCCCATTCCAATTTTTTTTTAGAGATTCTCTTTTTTCCTCTGTTCTAAGTAATCACTATCTAATCTCTACCAGAAAAAAACTGATGTTACTGGCAGTGTTTACTCCACTCCCTTGAGGCCTAGTAAGGAGGACAGGAAAACATCTACCAAATTATGGAACAAAAATCAACAAAGAAACAGTCTACAATAAAAAACAGCACTGAAACCTTTTTTCTTCTGTGGAAAATGATAGTTTGCCTGTAAAGGTACAAGTGTATTTCACTCTTGCATTTGACAGTTATACTATAGAAACTACAAATATGATACTAAAGATACATATAAGAACTTTCATTCATCATTGCAAAAATATTTTTATAATTAAGAACACTCAGATTTTCCATGGAATAAAAAAGGTTAAAAGTGGATAAAGGTAGCATGGTGTAATGAACAGGGGGGTGGCCTAGCCTGGAGTGAAGAACACTTCGTTCAAGACCACCTCTGATTAAAATCAGCTGCTCAGGCATATTAGATATGTGACCCTGGGGCAAGTAGGGGAAACTCTCAGCGCCTCCAGACAACTCTAAGACTTTAAGATTCATTGATCTGCACTGAAAGATAAAGCTCCCTTCAGAGAGCTCCCAATACTTATCAAATAATGGATCTAAACTTTGCCACTTCCTCCCCATCCCCCATAACCATTCACGCAGGAGTGGGGTGATGAAAGCTTGAACTATACTGATGGTAGTGTGAATGGAAGGAAGAAGAAAGAGATGAGAGAATGTTGAAGAGGTAGAATGAATAAATTTGGCAATTGATGTAATATGTAGAATGAGAAAGAGTGAGGATGAATGCCTGGCATTTCAAACTGAGGTGACCAGAAAGATGGTGGCATAAGATAGAGGATTTTGAAAGGGAAGTAAGTTTGGACATGTTAAGTTTAAGATAACTATGGCACACCCAATTCAAAATGTCCATTAGGCAAACAGATATGTAGGAGAAAAACCTTATAACACAGGAATTAGTGGTAGGAATGAACTCAAATAGACAAGGAAATATTTTAAAAGGGAAGCAAGTAGATAGAAGGCCACTATGCAAAGCCACTATGTGCACCTAGGTGGTGCAGTAGGTAGAGCACCAAGCCTGTAGTTAAGAAGACCTGAATTCAAATTTGTCCTCAGATACTAACTGGGACCTTGGGCAAATCACTTAACCCCATTGTTCTAGCCAAAATAAATAAACAAAAAATAAAAAATCCAAATATTAAAGTGCTGTAGAAAGAAATTATTAATATTCTGATTATGATGTCGATGGTTTTGTGATCTCTTCATTATAGGTACTCTGCCCAAACTTGGAGAACACAACACACTCATGCCTTCACATCCTGTGAAACTCTTGTCCATGATCTACCATAAATTCTTCACAGGAAGTCTTACCCTATGAGTTGGCAGAATCTTCCTCTAGATTTCCTGACACTGCATAGATACACATGGAGTATGTAGGCTGTCCTGTTGTTTATCCCTTGCTCTCACTACAAGACCAGCTTCTCTCTTTTTCCAGTCATACAGATCTACTGAGATACCCTTTATACTGCTTTTCTTGTGTGACTTTTTGCTGTTAAGATGCTATACTCTCCTCATGTCAACCATGTGCCTCTTCATTGTCCTTTAGGTCACCTATAATTTTTTTTCCTAAAGAAGCAATACATGAATTTATTAGGAACTATTTTTGCCAACTATTTCAATTTAAAAAAAAAGTCATTTAAACTTCATTTAAAGCTAGGCAGCTAGGTGGTACAACAGTTAGAGAGCCAGATCTGGAGTCAGGAAGACCCAAGTTCATATCCATTCTCAGACACTTACTAGCTGTGTGACTTTGGGAGAGTCACTTAACCCTGTCTGCCTCAGTTTCCTCATCTGTAAAATAAGTTGTAGAAGAAAATGGCAAACTATTCCCGTATCTTTGCCAAGAAAACCCAGAAAGAGGTCATGGAGAGTCAGACACAATCGAAATACAACTGAACAACAATAAAATTTAAATGAAATGGATGACTATTTAAAAGAACACAAATTGCAGACCAAGAAAACAAGAAATAGATAGCCTAGTTTATCTCAAAGAATAAACTGAACAGGTCATTATTTGAACTCTCAAAAAAAAAAAGATGACCAGAAGGATTTATAAGTAAACTCTACCAAACAATTGATACTAATATCATATTAAAAACACATACACACACACACACACACACACACACACACAAGAATAGGAAGAGATGAGATCCTACTAAATGTCTACCATGACACAAACATGGTCTTGACAATCAAATCAGAGTCAAAACAGGAAGAAAACCAAAAAACAAATTCCTCAAATTATATAGGCACAGAAATTCAAATAAAATATTAGCAAAGAATTACAGAAATGTACCAAAAAGACTATATAGAATAACCAGGTTAGATTCACTGCAGGGATGCTTAATACTATAAAAACAACCAAACACATCAACAATAAATATTATATGAGTGAATAAATGCAGGCAAAGAAGAAACAGGTTTACTTAGAGAACCCAACAGCCAACTTTTAAAAATGAAAACAATAACTTCAGCAAAGTTACAGGATACAAAATAAATCCACACAAATTAACTGCATCTCCAGAAACAACCAACAAAACTCAGCAAGAAGAAAACAGAAAGAGAATGATGTTCATGTAATAACTTGCTCTCCTTACCCCTTCTTCTTCCATGTTTATATGCTCTTTTTGCACACCTCAACTATGAGAATCGGTAAGTTCTATTCCCTTCTTCCTAATTTCTTCCCAGTTCATTCAATTTTCTCTGTATTTTTTTCTCTTATGACTATAAAAAGAGAATTAAACTACCCTCAACATATTTGTTGTCCTATTTTAATTCTGTCTATAAACTATTATGTAAACTATGACAACATTAAGATTCTGAGTGTTCCTTTTTCTCCCGCAGGAAGAAAGCACTCCATTATTATATTGTTTTGTTTTTGCTTCTTCTTTGGTGAGGTAATCAGGGGTAAGTGACTTGTCCAGAGTCACACAGCTAGTTAAGTGTCAAGTGTTTGGTCTGAGGCCGGATTTGAACTCAGTTCCTCCTGACTTCAGGGCCGGTGCTCTATCCACTGGGCCACCTAGCTGCCCCTATCACTTCATCATTGTTTAAACTCTTCCAAATACATTCATCTTGCTGGGTTTGAACCTTTTCTTTAAAAATTTTTAATTACACAATTTTATTTTCATTTCTAAATTATCTCTCTCCCCCAGTCATCTATAATTTTCAATTTTTTCTCAATTGTAAACATGTTTACCTATTATTCAACTGAAGTTTATACATAACCTACTAAAGTTTTAAAGTATTCTAAAAATGACGACATACAACATTAATCAACACAATGACAAAATATAATTGTATAGTACCAAAGACAGAAAATGTTACCCACCTCCTGAAAGAAGTTACAATCTCAATATGCAGAATGAGAAATACATTTTTGGACATGGCCAATGCAAGAATTTATTTTCCTTAATTTTGTCACAAATTTGTAATGAGGTTGTTGTTTTTGTTTTTTCTTATTTTTCAGAAGGGGAGGAAGGGAGAAAACAAAAGATTTTAATATTTCTTTATTTTTAAAATTTATTCCTTTTTTAAAAATTTTCAACATTCACTTACATAAGCTTTTGAGTCTTAAATTTTCTCCCCCTCCTTCTCCTCTTCTCTCCCTAAGACAGCATGCAATCTGATACAGGCTCTACATATACATTCATACCGAACCTATTTTTACATTATTTATGTCGTAAGGAAGAATTAGAACCAATGGGAGAAACCACAAGAGAGAAGAAACAAACAACCAAAAAAAAGAGAGACCAAATAATGTGCTTCAGACTCCATAGCTCTTTTTCTAGATGTGGACAGCATTAAAAAAAATTTTTTTTAAAGAAATGAAGTGGTCAGGGAATTAAAATGATACTAAATATTCACTTCATAACTTTGAATTAATTATTGATTATAAACATATTCTGTGACCCACAGTGTAGTTACATAGCATAGGCCTTAAAATCTAGCCCTCTATTTCATAGTGTGACTTTGGGTGAAAAGTTTAAGCCTTCACACATAAGCTAACCTTCTATTTAGTATTTCAATATGTAGGTTTTAAGTTAAGTATTGCTATGAAATAGCAAAACAAATTTCCACATTCAAAAATTTTTGAAGATCAGAAACCAAAACCTACCTCTTCATCCAGTTCTTTCATTATCTTGTCTAGTTTTATGTTTGAAGTTCTACAAAACAAAATTGGGTATAATGAAAATACAATCCCTTCTTGATTATTTGGAAACCTATTATCAGTACCTGTCTCCCCTCTTGCTATTTCCATTTTGGCTATTTCATTGATCACTGTCAATTTGATGGAAGATTAGGCAAGGGAAAAAAACAATAATAAACTTCAAATAAATACTGGCAAAATCGAGGTTTTGGGATTATCTTTGTATTTCATTTATACAACAATATCCTGTTCTGCAATGATAAGGATATCATTTTAATTCTTTGTTATTTCAATCAAGAAACATTTATAGGTCATCTTTGAGTCCCCTACTATGTAGTTACTAAAAAAAAAAATCCTCAAATCTTTGTCTTCTTAAATATGCATGCTTTCCTTTAATTATACTAGTATTAAGCCAATAGAAAAAATGGTGTAATGCTACTGAAGATCACCATAGAAAACAGGGTGTTTCAATAGTGTAGCTATATAAGAAATACATTTAAATCCAATCTTATGATACTGTTTATTTTACAAAGATGCTGTTTCTTTGAATTTGCTCCTTCAGTCTGCTAACCAATACTGCACAGTTAACTACAGTACTGTACTAAATGTCACATAGGTCAGTGCAGTGTAGATCATATAGGTAATTTTAAGAGTCATGCTAAGGAAAAGAAACTGCATTTCAAATCTTTGGGAGAAAATATCTATGATAATTCTAACATTAGCAAATACTCATTTCCACTTCTGGAGTAGACATAGTTTAAGAGTACATATTCACAATGACAACTTTTAAATATTCATTTCATAACTTTAAATTGATTATAAACATTTTCTATGACCTTGATTGTATTTGCATAGCATAGGCTTTGAAATAAGCATCTCCTACACAATTTAAAGTCTCTAAGACACGTTATTTAAGTTTAGTCTCACCTGCACTTCTGCTCCATTTCATCTTTTAACTGTATTTCATTATGCAGTTGTTCTTCCAGCTTATAGATTGTGTTTTGCAAACTCTCCTGCTTTAAAGATGACATAACATTCATTTTTTACAAAAAACAGAGCATTCTAAGAGTAATGAACCAAATTGATAAAGTTAAAGCTCTACTATTTAGAAGCTAATTTATTCCAATCTAGATTTTTCTGCCTCTTTTTCACTTGTTACTTTTTAGATTTCACTGTTTGCAGTTCTGTTGGAAGGTCATTTAGATAAGGAGAACTGAAATTCAAATCAATAAATTTTCCAACTTTTCTGCTTTCATAAAAAATTGATAGAGGTTCTGGTTGGGGTTAAAGACATACTGAAACTAATGGACAAATGAGACCTCTAAAAAACCAGTGAGTTTTTATAAAAAACTGATATTTAAATAAACGTAGTTATGTCCATTTGTAATTTATAGTGAAATATACATTTATCATATAAAGAGACCAGGTTAACCTTAACTGGGAACCAAATTTGTTCCTGTTTGGGAGAGGAAAAAAATGAGCTCATGTTCATTCACATGTAAGTTAGAAAAGCTAAAGATTACATGCAATAATAATTATATCAACCATATGTAATGAGCTTCAGAGGATTTCACTTGGCTTACTATAATGCCTTCAGACCTGAACATGTTAGTATGGAAATATAATCCTTAATCATCTTTAACAAAGCTCTGCCAAAATGCTTTCAATCTAGGCACTAGATAAGTGGTTGTTAACCTTATGTCCACTGGCAAACTTGACTTTGAGAAAAAAGATTCTGATAACTGTATTTCAATATAATCAATTTCCTTTGTAATCCTATGTATTTTATTTTATGCAATTAAAAAATATTTTAAAAATTCTGAGAAGGGGTCCATATAGGCTTCACCAACATTACCTTTCCAAGGCAGTATTTATGTTTCAATGAACTAAACTTGTCAGATTCTAAACTCTAGAATTAAAAAGATGCCTTGGAAAGAAGTTCCACAGCATACTTTTACTGAATAATTGCCTAAACAAGAAACAATAACCTTAGTTTACATTCAATTACCTTTAAATCATATAAATAGTACTTCCCACTTCCATCCCAAATCAAAGCCAATTAATAATCATAAGGAAATACATACCAAGCTTTTATCCACATTAGAGGTGGTCCTGTTATCATTAGAATTTGCTGAAGATACAGATAAATATCTAGGAGAGAGGTTATTTAAAGGTTATTTTAAAAGCCAGTATCAATGCTCAAGAATTGAACCTATCATATATTCAGTACTATGCTAAAGGTATTATATAAAAACAAATGTAAGGATACAGAAATGAAAATTAAAACATAACAAAATAACACCTTGGCGTCCCCAAAGTTAAAAGTCAGAACTGATATCACAGGCATTAAGATATTGATTACCTTTCCTCATTTCCTGACCATCTCCTCATCATGCTGCTTGCTATCATTCTCAATCTTTCTCTTCCAGACCCCAATTTTGAACACTATCTTTGACTCTCGCAGATCTGATTGGTGAAGTTTTACCTTTATTTTGCTCAGAAATACGCTTTCACACCAATTCTCATCCATCTCCACACCATGCCACCATGTGTTACTTGCTTCCAGATTCCAGCTCCCCTTTAAGTGCTATCTTCCTTTTGGAATATAAGCTCCTTGAAGGCAGGGACTTGTCTCATATACTTGGATTTCTATTGTCAGAGCTCAGCACCGTGCCAGGCACATAGTAACCCCTTAATAAATATTTTATCAGTCTATTATCATTGAGTAAAATAAGATAATCCAAACTTCCACTACCTCCTGCTTAACCCCTTAGGACTAAACTAAATTTTTCAGGTATTACTTATTCTTGTAACTTTGGAAGTAAAAGGTGTATGGACCTTGAAATGGTAACCTCAAACCTGTCAGAATATCAAATATTCTGGAAAAAAATAATACAACAAAAGTTTCTAGGTGACTCTGCAAGTATCAAGCAGAGGTCAAAGCTCTTGAAACCCTCAAATGTTGGTGTAATGCAATGTAACTTCATGTAAACTGAGTTATACATAAAGGGAATGGAGCTGCTTTGAGAGATGGACACAAGAAATATTAAAGTAGCATCTATCAGGGATCATTCAGACAGGACCCCAATATACAATGGGATGTTTATTATATGTCTTCTAAGCACAGTCTCCTCCAACTCTAAGATTCTACAAAATAGTTTTACCTCAGTCTCTCTAGTGAATTAACAAGTAGGAAAAAGTTTTAAATACAGTATGGAAAACGCAAAGAAGTTGCAAGTGCTAAGTTTCCTACTTCTCCTTTTCCAAAATGGCTCTTTTTTCCTCCTTGTGTTGTTTTGTACATTTAGTGGATTTTTCTGGAGGAGAATAGAATAGTTAGGAATTCCAGAAGATAAAGGGAAGTGTAAAACAATCAGACTTTCTGCCTGAGTGCTATTTACAGCTTTCAACATGAAGGCTAAGCTACAATTCAATAGTAAAAGTTTTTCCCAACTTGATTACAATATATCTGGCTTTTACAACCTTCTATTTATACATATATACATATGAAGTGTCTTTAGAGAGAAAGAGGTTTAAAAAATAAACTTCATGATACTAATAGGCAGACTTTACTTAGTGAACATCTACAATGTTGCTTGGTAAATATAAAATATGACAACAGAATGAATAAGCCAATGCTATCAGTCACTGAACGTATATTTTTATAAAGATTTTTATATACCAGGGATATTTTTATATTACGAATAGAGACTGGGCTTATAGTTTTCTTCTTACAGGAAAATGCTAGGTGAGAAAACTCCCTCTACCAATGCAGTTTGGGACCGTCTCCATGGCCATACATCCCATATCTTTTAATTGTGAAGTTGAAATTTTAAGTCCAAATGTATTTGATTTCACCTTATTAAAAATGGTCCAAAACTCTACCCTGTGAAAATATGTATATGTATGTTGTACATATACACAGGTGTGTGTGTGTCTGTCTGTCTGTCATCGAATGAATTAGCTATGTGATCTAGATTCCGTCATCAGCAGATATATGCATACTATCTATACTATAGTAAAGGGCCAGAGCACAGACCTCTGGGACAGTACATTAAAAACCTCAAGCTGACACCAAAGTAAAGGATCTTTCCTCTCCTCAGTTAAGTCTCGTATCTGGTACTTAGTTTCAAATGTTCATTGGTTTTTGTTTTCTTTCTATTCTGACACAGATCAGGATTCTCATTTGGATGTTCATACTCTTTTCTTCGTGTTTTTACATTGAGGTATTTCTATATTTTTAAGAGTACTGTATCCCTCCTGATAATCTGGAAAGTGGAAAAGTATCTCAGTCTTTTACATTCTCTTCAGTGAAAGAGACTAGCTTTCACTTTAAGCAAAGATAACAGTTACTTGGCTGAGGCAGAAATACAAAACATCGTATACTCTATATAGGTCACTGCAAAATTTGCTCTGCTTCCCATACTTTTCAGAAATGAGCTCCTGGAGAACTCAAGGATAAGATATAACTCTGATAAAAAATGACAAAAAGCCAAGAGAGACTCTTTTTTTGGTGGAGGCTAGGGAGAGAGAATTGCGTAGGATACCTGTGAAAGTAAAGGACTATGTGATTTTGGATCAAAGCCACTTCTCATCACCAAAGATAAATTCACCAAAACCAGAAAATAGCATTTATCAAAAGAATATTGGGAGTATTAGAAAAAAAAGATTACTTTTTAAAAGTTCTGTTGCTTATATTTTGATGTGGGATATTTTTCTTACAAACTACCAAAATGAGGTTTAACCATTTATTGGTATTATAACAAAAAAGCAAATATTAGTCTTGTAGATTTCATTATTAGAAGATATATAAAGTAGTGTCAGTTTATTTTCTCATTTTTCTGAGACAGACATGAAGAGGATTTGGCATCTTTTATAAAAAGATGCAGGTCAAAAAAATGAAAATTTCATACTAAGGCTATACATATGGAATTCAGGAAGTTTCCAAGGTAACAGAGTTAATTTTTTTTTAACCTGCTCTGTTGAAATGGATATGCAATACTGAGTTAGATAGGTCCTCTGATCAGAAAAAAAAAGTTTTTAAGATAAACAGGCTTATGTTTCAATAAATGTCCAATTCGGTGAAATTTCTTGGTATTGTGCTAACTATTTATTTCTCAGAAGGCCTAAACTTTCCAACTTTTCAATTATAGAATGTGAGAACTGCAAAGGATTTTAAAGCCTATTTAGTTCAACCAAATTCATTTTATATGAGAAAACTGAGACCTAGCGAGGGAAAGTGATTTAGCTCCAGGTCACAGTCAGCCAAGATCATAATCCAGACTTTCTGATTACTGATTCAGTGCTACTTCCACCAGAACATCTCACCTTCTAGGCACATTCTTGGGTATATTTTTAAATGCTCTCTATAAGTAAAAAAAAAAAAACCCTAAACATTAAACAAAGAAATACTAGGGGCAATATGTTTTACATTTCCCCTTGTTTAATATAATTCTGGTACTTCTTTAGCAATTATAGTAAGTCACCCTGGTGTTTTGAAAAAAGCATTAAATGCTAATGTCAACTGATTGGTTAATTAAATATTTGAAAATTAAATCAAAGTTTAAGTCTGTTCAACATTAGTAGGCTAATCCTAGCATTACAACAAGCAATCAAATCAATGACACATATTCTAACAGAATAAAGAAGGCTTGCTCTTTTAACTAGAGTTAAAGATGTATCCCAAAGCGCTAATAACTATGATTTTTCAAGGTACTAATTTAATGATAGCAGAACTTCAGGTTTCTGTTATTCTAAGATTTAATTTTTACCCAAATTCTTTGGATGTTAAAATTAATCATTTATTTTTTTTAATTTTAGCTATAACATGCTATATAATATATATGCAATGTCCAAATGTGAGGGAAAAACATGTACTGCATAACTCATAAAAGAATATCTGAAAGGCAATGACATTTTCACTAACATGGAATAATATAAAATAAATTAAATAGAAAATCCCATAGCTTTTCTTGAAAAGACAGCAGGTGGATTTAATGTTACTAAAACAGCTTCCAACATCTGAAGTATTATTAAAATTATCTATCAAATAATGATTTTACTACGCCTATAGCTGCTAATAAAAATACTTTTCAGAATGCTTACCTACGATTGCTATAATATGTAAATCCTACAAAAGGTAGTTGATTGCCAACAAAAGCTTTTGGAATAGGGAATGTTTCTTCATCTCCCTTGTCTTCTTCTAAGTCATCAAAATTACTAGTATCAATGTCACTACTGAGATCAGGTACAACAGGTGCAACAGCTAAGGATAAAAGAAAATTGGTTATTTGGCTAAAAAGCAAAATAAATGTCCACAAAGAATCAATCCAAACTACTGAGTTTCATTTTTTTCTAAGTAACTTGAGGCTGTTCAAGTCTCATGTAACAAATCTAAAATAGTTATCAAAAAGCTATAAGTACATTCCTAATCTACAGAAATTAGAGATAGAATAAGACTGAATCCAGTTCCTGTAGTCATTCTGCAGTGAGTAAAAAAAGAAATGATGTGCTTCTCTCTACAACACCTTTAGTATCATATTTAGTATATAATCAAGTTATGGAATGACAATTACACAGCGGGTATCAGAAAAAGATTTTTATTATATGGATGAACTAATATAGAGGATTAAATGTAACCAAGCTAGTAAAATACCAATGATATCACCTACCTGTTAGGTTGTGGTTATAATAGGTTTCTTGTACAAAATATTTCATTGTAATGACCATCATTATAAATAGATTTTATCTTTAATAACCATTATCACCCTAATTTTCTGAATAGATTGAAAATAGCATTCAGAATCAGTGTTTCAACAATAAACATCATGCTATTAATAATTTCCATTTCTTACATCTGATAGCTAATAATAATAGCTAACATTTATAAAGCACTTAGCCAACCACGGTGCTAAGCACTTAACAATTATTATCTCATTTGATCCTCACAACAACCCTAGGAGGTAGGTGCTATTATTATCCTCATTTTACATGTGAGGAAACTGAGGCAAACAGATGGTAAGTAACATCTAGTAAGTGCCTGAGGCCAGATTTGAATGTAACTCTTCCTGACTCCAGGCCTGGCATTCTTTCTGGTGTACCATCTAGTTCAACAAAATGCCACCTAACTATTACATTACAAAAGTTAATATTGCTGTTACCTAGTATTTTATAACTAATCGATCCATTCTTAATACATGAGATCATGAGAAATTGTGTGAATATTCATGATGTTATTAGTATGTACCTGGCATAGATCAAATGACATAGAGTTCTTCCTCAAACTTTATTTAAATTAAACATTCAGAAAAATACTTCTGCTTTGGGAAGTCTTGTGGTTTTATAATACATAAAATGCTTGATGCTCTTAAGAGTCATAGTAAAAAATGGTGTTCAGAAAACTAAGTGGATTTCCTGTGTGGTAGCAGTGATGTATATCAGAGTTCCCCAACACTGTGGGACTGACTAGTTCTTTTCCTTAAAAGACACTGAACCTTTACTCAAGAGTTTATTGGTTAACTTAATCAGGATTAAGGCTCAAGCCATTAACACAGCTTCCTGGTCACCTAAGTAAAACAAATCCACAAGGCAGTCTAGCTGTCTCCGTGGCTTCAAACAGGCAAACCAGCAACATAACTAACACCACGAAGCTATGCTCAATTCAATGGACTGTATCCTTGATTAATATTCTTCCTTTCCCTGCTCTAAAAGTCCTTCCTCTGCTATGGCTAAGTAAACCTCCTCTGGTTATAGTTAAGTAAACTTTCTTTTGCTAACTGTCAAGATGGACTACTAATGTTTCATTTTGTTCCAATCTCAAACTTGAACCACCATATCTGTCTGGTCAGACCTGGCTTACTATTACTTTATATTCAAAAAGAATTGACTATATTTAAATGTGTTATTATTTGTTACATTTCCTTACAGTGTAATGGGCAACAAAATGAAGCAGTGGATAGAGTACTGGGCGTGGTGTCAAGAAGACCCTAGTTTAAATCTGGCTTCAGACACTTACTAGCTGTGTAACCCTGGACAAGTCACTTAACTGTGTCTACCTCAGTTTCCTCATCTGTAAAATGAACTGGAGAAGGAAATGACAAGCCCTCTAGTATCTTTGACAAGAAAACCCCAAACGGGGTCCCAAAGAACCAGACAAGACTGAAACAACCGAACAACAAAATCAGTGTAACAAATTGTAAATAAAAGTAACTTTTTTGATACAACTTATTCAAGAGTAAAAGTGTATGATACATATGTCAATATTACTTCCTTTCAATATTCTTTCCCACATAACACATTCTTTAAAATGATTTCTGAACTAATCTCTTGCTTGTTCTTCTTTCACATATTCACACATATTTTAAGTTTTGTTTTGCTTTTTATTGGCTTCATTTGCAATTGATTTTGTCAAAGCTGTAAAATTTTTCTAGACTTTAGCCATTCTTCAACTCATAGAAGCCTTCTGGGCAAATATGGAACTTAAAAATGAAAAGTTGTATCTACATAATACAAGTATTTAAAATGTTTTTATTCCGAACCTAAACACCAAAAAACCCCTTACAATTTCCACATACACAGTAGAACTCAGAAAAGAAAATATGTAAAATCATTCATGAATCTTCATTCTGTACCACTTGTTTTTTAAAGCATATAATAAATAACACAAGTTGCTTTCAGAATTGTCTTGCTTGTCTGTGCTTGCTTCTGAACTTCCTTCTATTCTCTCTTCTTTTAACTTTCTAAAATGTTTCAATGGCCCTTTTTATGCTAATCCCTTTCCAATAAAAAGCAGAGGTGGAAAAAAAAACCCAACCCTTGTAATAAATAAGCATACTCAAGCAAAACAAATTCACTCAGTGGTCATGTCCAAAATAAATACATACATTTAAAAAATCTATTTTAGCATTGGTTATCCATTCACTATTCAAACATGTATTAAGCATTTCTTATGTGCAATGTACTATTAGGATCTGAGGAAGACACAAAATTTGACAGTCCCTCATTCTTCTAGGAGCCTGCATCCCCATCTAGCATGGGACAGAGAGATACAAATTCAAATGTTATAAGTACACAGGAAAAGTACAAAATACTATGACATCATATGAAAGGGAAATCACACTTGGCTATAAAATTTTGAAGCAGCAAAACTTTAATAATAATGCATAATCCTACCAACTCATTACTAAAATACCAGTATCTCATCATGATATAGAAGTGGCTCTAGGTTTCTGAATATCATCTCCAAATGGAACATTTTCCAGTGGGGATCTAAAAATACTGGCTCTATATCACTTATCAGAAAACCACCTTATCACCAGAAGATTGTTCACTAGGGTCAAATTTCTTTTCTGGCCACAGAAATCATGCTAGTAGGAATAGAGCTGACTTACCTGTACTAGAGAAGGCAGCAGCAACACCAATGAAATCATAGATTACCAACATATGGAAGTAATCTCTTTAATGCAATGATTGAGCTATACAATTGCTTAGAAATAAAATTCAAAGTACCCAAGGATAAATGCATTATGTTATTACCTCCTAATGTTTAATGGATTCTGTCTTTTAATAAATTCAGATTTTAAGTAACATATGATTTAAAATTTAGATTTGCTAAATAAAATCACTTTAATCACAAATTCTAAGTATCTGTTTTTTTAAAATCTCCTAAGCCCCAAATTCTTTTTCAAAGTAAGATTCAAAACTCAGTCTGTTTGATGTTGACAGTTTCCATTGAGGATTTTAAAGATTTGACAGCAGATATTTTACCACTTTTCCTAGTCTGCTCTGGTGAAGATGGGCTCTAAGTGAAACAAAAAAAAGTATAAGAGCTGCCCTTCTGGCCACAATGCTTCTCTTGAAGCTTTCACCAGGTAATAAGTTTTTCATTTTTACTATACAACATAACACATACGGGAAAAACCTTTTCTAATCTCTATTCTTATTTGATAGAAGAACTGGGAATGGCAAAAGTTATCATAATTCAACTCCGAAAAAATTCAGAAGGCCGCACTAAACCCAGTCATCATGAATAGAAGAGGTCACCAAAGCAGAATTTAAGAACTCTTGGTTATTGGGTAGAATGAAAGGAAGGAGAGAATGGGAAAAAGATTCAACTCTTTTTTTTTCCTTAACCACAGAGCAAAGACTAAAGAGCTAAGTAAAAACTACTAAAATGTCCATTAAAAGGCAAAATGCAACTGTTGGAGAAAGCTACTTTTTCAGCAAACCTCACAGATTAAAAGTACCTATTAAAAGCTAGATAAATTAGGAAATATTTATCAACTGCACAAAAAATGCCTTGCATAGCAATCTTTTAAACACTGAGGTTCATTTAGTACACCAAAAACAATAATTAAATAAACTCATTTTAAACTTTTCAAGACGGTAACTATTGTACAAAATGATATAGTAAAATAATTTAGGCTTCAATTCAAAATTCAAACTTTTCCTTTTCTTTGTCAAAGTTATTATGATTACTCATTAAACCTACTCAGCCTCTATGCAGCTAAAGCTTTTGGTCAGAGCCCAGTTAAATTTCATCAGGAAGCACTACTCACTTCAGATAATATCAGCCATCAATCACATACATGGAACTCTCCTCACTACTGGGCTATACATCTGGAGGTGCTGGCATGCTGATTTCGCATTGTACTTATCTCTCCATTAACCACTGTGTTTGTACTTTCTGCTGTCCAGCTACTTTATGAAGAATGCTACAAAGCTCAAGCTGAAGCACTGAATCAGTTCAACTATTCACCAGTTCCTTCCTTTATAATCCATTGCTTTATTTATTGTTTGTTTGTTTATTGGTGAGGCAATTGGGGTTAAGTGACTTGCCCAGAGTCACACAGCTAGTGCGTATTATGTGTCCAACGCCAGATTTAAACTCAGGTCCTCCTGACTCCAGGGCTGGTGCTCTATCCACTGCACCACCTAGCTGCACCTGGGTTATTTATTTTTAAGCAGACACAAAAATGTACACATTAGTTTGAAAGTAATTTTTTTGAATAAGGAATTATCTGTGTGTACACACACATGTATGTAATAGGGTAGGAGGATAGGGTGCGACAACTTACTATCTCGAAGAGTTTCCCACGCCCACTGATCATTTTTGAAGAAGAGATGTCGTTTGATTTCTTCCACACCATTTCGTCCTAATCTCACTTCCCTGTTTTAAAAAGTTAATGACACAAAACATGCTTAAGATGCTAAAATAGCTCACAATTATATGGCATTTTATAGTACATAACAGAGTTTCTCACAATACACTGTATTTAAAAACAGAAAGCTATAATGTCCTAAATATGATTAATATAAACTTGAAAAGGCTTTTTGTATAATTCTGCACGATTCACTTTGATCATACCCCAGTTTAGCTGATAACTGGAGAAAGAATGGAAAAGGACATTAAAAAGGAATGTCAGAAGAAATTTTAAGAAAAGCACTTTGTTAATATTCAATGTGGTTTTTAAATTAACAATTAGAATTTACAGGTCAAGTATCTTTATGTAGTTCCATAATAAAACAAGTTCACTTTCTTTGATAACTTTTTTAAAAACTCCCTTAATATCCCAAATAAAAACATGTGCTTATTAGCTGACTTTTGAGTTCTTGCTTTTTAAGCAGCAGGAAATTTTGATTTTCTTCAAATAACGGGCTTGCTGTCTTCTACCAGCTGCTGCATGAATGCTATCTTTTATAATTATTCAAAAGTGGAGTAGTTGGGATCTGTACTTGTAGAAAGAAAACCCACAATAAAGAGACAACAAAACCATCTAAGTCATAGTTCTCATTTATAGAACACAGCACTTTGAAAACAAAGTGCTTCCCTCAAAATAACCCTGAAATATGCAGGGAAAAGGGTTTTAGATATAATTCAGAAATGAGGAAATGAAGGCTCAGAGGGTGAGCTGCCCAAGGAATAGAGCTAGTTAAATGGGAAAGTCAAGCCTAGAATTCACCATCTTGTCTTTATTCAGTCCCATGTTCTTTTCACTGTATCACGCAGCCTCTTAATCCTCTGTACCTCTCTAATAAGATATGAGAATGTTCATCAAAATGGAGAAGCAGTGTCACACTAACCACAGCTATCTGTGGGCCTACTGTCACGCATAAGCAAAACATATCTGAAAACCTGAAGTTCAACTGCAATCCCACAAACAGGAAATTTAGCTGCTTTTCTACAAAAGATAAATGTAATGACATTTAGATACAAAGGAAAAGCCCAATGATCTGTTCAGTCAAATTATCGAAGTTAGATTCTTTAGGGAAGCATATTAACTTTCTAACCACCAGAGCACTATCAATCTCCCTGGAAAAATTTCTGCACTATAATGCCTAATGTGATCCAACCAGGACAAGTGAAGCAGCACATAAGTTAATTTGAACTTAAATATAAAAATTCTTCCAATTTTAAAATTATTAAATCTAAAGTTTTTCAAGGAGTGGGAAGCCCTCTGATCTATGCATGAAATGTCTGTTAAATAGGACAACTTCCAATAAATTGGGATAGAGAATATCTGTTTTGAGTAGGAGAGGGAGTAACTGCTATGAAGATTTTTTACAGTACCCCATTCCACCACTATCAATATTTGGTATGTATTGGACCTTTGTTTCTGTCTTTGGTCTCCTTTGGGTATAGTAATTACTAGATCAAAGGATATCAACAGTTCAGGTTATGTTTCCAAACTGATCTCTAGAATAACTAGATAGGACCAATCCACAGTCACATCAATAGTCACCCCAAAATACAATCTCCATTTTTTAAAATAATCATCTTTCACACTGTTTTTACTAGATGTCATGTTGACTTCTAGATTGCCTAATTTCTTTGCTTACAGGAGAAGGGAAAGAGTCTTCCCAGAGAACAAACCCTATGAATCAGCTCCAAGTTCTTCTTTAAGGAAGCACACTTACCTGAGCCCTCCAGCACTATACTATCTGTTCTCTAATGGACAATGAGATGGAAATTAACTAGCTGGGAAGACAGAAAGAGGAGGCAAACCAGAAGCTCCTAAAATTCTATCTGTCCTTCTGTCTCCCTCCTCCTAAATCTATTCTGTATCCTCACCAGGAACTCCACTGACTCCACCTCTCCCTACTTTTCAGGTCTAGGACTTGGCTCTGGCCTCACTGGTAAAAGAGAAGGTATTAGGGTAGATCAGGAATCTCAAACCCCAAAGATACAGCCCCACCTACAAGGAATATTATGCAGTTCTTTTGTCTTTGTAAAGACAAACAAAAATTCATATAACACAATTGGAATAGTACTATAAACTTAAAATATGAAATGTAAATTTGAGATCACTGGATTCCATGATCTTCAAAATCCTTTCTACAGCTAAAATTCTATGAAAGTATAATCATGGCTTATTTATTTCTGTGCTTTAGTCAATAAGGGAGAGAAGCTCAATGATTAATGAAGGTTGCCAAGAGTTGCAGCTACAAAGTAAGGTTCAAATACTAAGATAATATCCCTTCTCCCTACCACACAGCCTGTTTTAGATTAAAACAAGACAGAAAGTTATGCAACTCTTCCTGGGTTCACGAATGAGGTTAATTTAAAAATAAAATATTGGATATTATGAGTAGCTAATAGCTAAAATATAGGTCCTTATCACAGATAAGACGGAGAATGAAAATCCCCTTAGCATTCTAGTTTTAAAATATTTTGTCTGCTTGTAAGATACTTTACCTGTCTGTAAGGAAGGCACAAATAAGATTTTTTGCTTCTTTTGAGATATCATTATCATCGGGGAAGGTAAGAGAATTCTTATGGTTCATAATTTTGCTATATGTCCCAACCAGTGAATCTGCATAAAATGGTGTATCACCTGAAAAAGTAATATAATAAAACAAAATTTTCTCCTATATTTAAACCATCAACATCAAGTTTAAAAAGCATCCAAATCTATATTCAATACATAGGAGTTAAAGCTAAAAGACATGCATATTTGGAACCCAAAAAGGATTAATATATCAGGAAAATATACCTTATATTAAGTGATTAATGACTAACTATTGGAGCTTTTTGTTCCATATCAGCCAAAATAAACAGATTAGCAAAATAAAAGCTAAAGATAATAGTTCAGCAATGAGTTTTTAGGATAAACTACGCTATAAATATATTAAGTTCTATTTTACTCACCTACAAGCATTTCATATAAAAATACCCCAACTGACCACCAGTCACATTCTCGCCCATAATAGCCATCACCACCTTGGGATTTTAATACTTCAGGAGAAATATAGTCAGGTGTTCCAACTGCTGTATCACATCGTACCATACCTTCCTATAAAAAGTGGTAAATCAGAGTATGAATCCAAATATAGACATAAACTCAGTCATACAAAAGAATTTTTTCCTTAATAAAATCTTTTTAGAATTATCTTAGAGAGAGGAAATCAGTGAAGACCTTCCTCCTTCACACACTATAACTATCCAGCCTTCCAAATCATCCAGAAAAAGGTATCTATCTGTCAAGTTTCTCTCACATCTAGAATCTACTTAGAATCTTGAGGTCGATTTATTCTGCATATTTCTACAAACCTGGCATTTCCTCTACCCCACAACTAATCGAATTCTTCCAACTAAACTCCAAACCTCACACCCTCTTAAACCTGTCATGCAGTAATACCTATCCTTCTCTTTCCACCTTTCCCATTCTGTCCTCTGGATATTCATTCTATTGTTTAAAAACTACCTTGGTATCCTCAATTTCTTCCTCTTTTACAGACCTTCTATTTTCTGGCACTAAATGAAATAGGACACCCTTCACCATCATACTGAGAGTACAAGAACAAAGAAGGCCAGAATGACTCTACTATTCCTTACTGTCCACTTCCATCATGCAACAACCCCATCTCTCTCTCCTTTCAAATTCATAACACAAATGGATTATTTCACTCTATTTGGATCCTTATCCCTGCCATCTACTGACCTCTAGGACTATCTTACCTCCCTCAATGAAAAACACTTAGTTAACAGTCTTCCTTTTCACCCCAACTATATCATCCCTGACAATGGAAAACAGTGATACTGATGACTAATATACTCATTTCTCAGGTTCGTCAACCTCCTGTTTTGATCCTTTAGCTCTACTTGCCCTCAAGCCATCCAAAGAAGAGGCCACATTTTATACTTCCCTGTTACCTAAAACTTCTCTACTTCTAACACCCTTAACCCTGAAATTCCTTTTTCTGAATATAATCTCCTATCCTTCCACGACTTCTTATATCATTCCTGCTGGACTTATCTTTGTCAACATTATTACTTCAGTCCCTTTAAAGCAACCTTTATGCACCTACAGTATATATCCCTTCTTGCATCTCCTCCATTATCCCTGTTCTGTATCTTCCTTTTTCCTCCTTTAATGGTCTTGAATCCATAGTCAGTCACTTTAATAAATATACTGTCCTAAGATGATAAAGGCTTTTAAGACTGTCAATGTTAAAAGGCCTATGAGAAGGCAGGAATATTGATACATTGCTGGTGGAAGCATGAATTGATCCAATCATTCTGGAAAGCAATTTGGAATTATGTGGAGGAAAAAAAACTTACTAAACTCTTCATACCCTTTGACCCAGCAAGCCTACTACTGGGCTTATGATCCCCAATGAGTTCAGTAACAAAAACTATTTTTAGCATCATTTTTATAAAAGTTAGAAACTAAAAAGCTGATGCCCCTTAATTGGGGAATGACTGAATAAATCTTGGTATGTGATTATTAACATGCGATAAGAAAAAAATGAACATAAGAAATTCAAAGAAACACAAGAAGTCTCATATGAATTCATATAATGTGATGAAAGTAGAACTAATAAAATATATACAATGATAATAATAATGTATAATAAATGTACAATAATGTTGAAGATAACGCTAGAGGACAAAAGAAAATCTGATCAAGTACAATGCTTAATACTGATTCCTGGTGAATGATATCAGAGCACACATCCTTCTTTTCAGAAGAGAAGTGACAGACTACCAATGAGGAATACTGTCTACTCTCTTAGTCATGGCTATCGTATTTGGTCTTGTTTAGGGCCATTTTGCTGTTTCTGTTTTAAGGGAGAGTACACTTTCAGTGGGAGCAAAGTTCGATAAAAACAAAACACACAGTAAAACAATCCTCTTCTCTCATCATCATCACCTTTTGTGCTACTAGAATACTGTTGGAAAATATCACTAAACTGCATAATGAGACAACAAATTCATCCTGGTTAATCTTAATTGGACTTCACTGTTGCATGGCAATCTTACTCATCTAACTCTCTATCACATGTCATAAAGCAGATATTCCAAATCTTCTCCACTCTCCTCAGGCATCCATCCTCCTAATTCTATTATTAACCCTTCTCAGTAGATGAACTTTCACCTTTATTTTATCTTTACACCTTCCAATCTTCACCCATTCTTTCCCTCTCTCTAATCTCCCCTCTGAGCTTATTTTTAATTGCTTCTTAGAAATCTTTTGCCACTAGTAAACTCAAATGCTACATGGGCTACATGTCTGAAAGTAAAATCAGTGCGGTATGGAGGAATGAGTACTGGGTTTGGAGTCAGAGGACTTAGGTTCAAATCTCAGGTCTGCCATTTACTACCTGTGTAACCCTGGGCAATTGACTTGATCCTCAGAGACTCAATCTCCTCATATGTAATGCGGCTGGACAAGATGACCTTTAAAAGCCTAAGACCTTAACTGCTCCTCTTCCCAAAAACTTCCCTATTTCTGCTGATGGCACCACCATCTTGCTGACCATCCAGCTTTGAAACCCTGATCAATTTTGAATCTTCCCATTTCCTCACCCCTTCATTATCCAGTCTGTATTAAGCTTTATTAATTATTCCTCAATAATTCTTTTACATCCATCCTGATCTCTCTATTAGACAGTTATCTTCCAAGTTCAATATCTCATTATTCCTTGTCTGTACTATTTTAACAACTCATCACCTGGTATTCCTGTCTCCAGGCTCTTCCTTCTCCAATCCATATATTCATATTACTGCCAAGATCACCCTCCTAAAGCACAATCTGACTATGTCACTCCTGTTCTTTAAAAAATAAAAATATCTTCCTCAAGCCTTTAAGATAAAACACAAACCACTTAGGCATGGCATTTAAAGCCTTCAATAATTTGGCTTCAACTTACCTTCCCAAATTGATTTCACATGGTCTTCCCTATAACCTCTAGTCAAACCAGGATACTAGTTGATCCTTAGTTAATATTTTCCACTCCAAACGTGGTTTATCTGCATATTCCATTTCCCATGCCCAAACACTCTTTTTACATTTTGACATATAATATTCCTTCATTTTATTTAAGGCCCTCCCTTATGTACCAATTTTTTCTCTGAAGATTCCCCTGATCTCTACTGCTAAAAGTGATTTCTCTTACTTCAGGTTTCTTGTTTTTTATCTGACAGGTTGCTGACCGGGTGATAAAACTTTGCACCATACTTATTTGGGTGTGCCTGCTTTATCTCTCATATACACATCCCATTAGACTGTAAACTTCTTGAAGGGAGGCACTGTCATTTTTTTATCTTTGTATCTCTAGCACCTAACACAGTGCATTGCATAGTATATGCTAAACACTTGAGAAACCTCACTCAAGTGGAATTTTACAATTTTAAGGCATAAAATATCTTTGAAGAACCATATATACCCTCAATAAATAAAGACCTTAGTTATGGACTGCTAAAAAATCTGATACCTTGATACCATATCTGATGCTTGAAAATGCAAAGAGCAAAAGGGAAATACAAAAATAAAACTATTGCCATCTTATAAAATAAGATCAATTATCCCCAATTCTAAGAAGTTTTACCAGATTCTTTCTTTTCTTCTCCAACATTCACCTCAAAGCTATAGTTTCTCATATAAACTCATGGGACTTTGTAACTCCTTTTATAAATTTTTCTCTTCTAATACACTATGTGTATCTGTGTACATGGCTAATCATGTACTTACTAGAATGCACTATAGAATTAAGAGCTTAATAAAGGTTTACTGAATTAATAAATTCCATATAATTTGCACAAAACTTGCCCATTTAGCAATTTTAAAAACTGCAATAAAACCTTTAGTTTAAAAACTGCCAAAGAGGACTTCCTCCTAATACATAATAAACTAATAAAAGTAGTTTTCTTGGAAAAAGGTAATTTTTAACTACTTGATTGCTATTTTCTGACAAACCTTAAATATTAAAATAAAGTCCTATTTTAATGGGAATGAGTAGAATCCTTGCTTTTTTACAGCTATGAACAATAAAATGTAACTCAAAATCCAAAGGCACGATAAAATGTAAAAGTATAAACACAGTGACAGAATTTATTGGAGCCAACTCACAATACTGATACAACTATTTAGTAATATTAAAACTAACTCCATTTTCAGTTACCAATAAGTACATGTTACAAAGTTGTTATGAAGGATTTAGTAAATCTGGCAATCTACACTTACCCTAAATAGAGAGGAAAAAATAAATCATGGACAAGTTCTTTATACAGCATTGCTACCATGGTATCCAGTTCAACAAATAAAGACAGTCCACGTCAAAACTGCAGAAGCCCACATAAGGTTAGTAACATTTTTTAACAATGTAATTTTCTTCATTTGGCTAAACCATGCTTCTACCAAAATATACTAACCTTATTCATCTTCATACAAGTACCAAAATCAGCTAGCTTCAAGTGACCAGATTTATCCAGCAGCATGTTGTCAGGCTTCACATCTCTAGGAAAAAAAAAATTAGGCTAACTCCTAAAGTACTACAAAAAATTTTTGGCAATGTCTTCCTATTACATATACTGTGTTTTAAAGTTAAGAAGTTAGAAGGAATGTTATATAAGTATTACTGATTACATGAATGACCTCTACATTAAACAGACTGTGATGAAAATTGTAGAATGATGTAATGATTTGTATTTTAAAAAGGAAAGATAAGCTTATGAATTTTAAAAGATTTATCTTCTTCAGTTATATTAGCTGAAAAGGAACCTTGACGCCAGGATAACTTACACAATTTTTCACTTTTTATTTTAACAAACCAAGAAAACAATTTTTAGTGATTTAAATTCTTACCTATGAATAAAGCCCATTGAATGGATTGCATCCAAAGCAAGAACTACTTCTGCAGTATAGAAGCGGGCCCACTTTTCAGGCACATCATAGTTGCTCATTAAATTAACAAGATCCCCACCAGGCATATATTCCATTACCATGTAGAGATACCGATCATCTTGGAATGCATAATAAAGCTATTTAAGATATGAATACAAAATAGTTACTTTATCAGAAGAGGATCAAGAAAAATGGTTATCAACATAAATTTTTTACTTATAAAAACATTAATTCAGGATAATCACATTCCACATATAATCTGCCCCTAAATACAAATAAAGCATTAGATTTAGGGCTAAAAGAGACTTCAGAGGTCAAGCCCCATTTTATACAATGTGAAAACTAAGGTCCAGAGATAGGAAGTGATTTGTCCAAGGTCACAAGGTCCCTGCTTGGTTTTTTACTTCCATAGTGAATACTTGTTTCCTGTTTAAATGATGAGGTTTTGTTTTGGGTTGGGGTTTTTTTTTGTTCATTTGTTTTCTGAATTTGAAACTAAGAAGGAAGCCCACTACTTTCAAAGATGGAAGGATATCTCTGAAACTAGACTACAGCTGTAACAAGGGACTATCTACACCACTATATTTAAATCACTAGCATTTTATAACCTGTTAGTACAAATATGAGGGGTAGCTCAGTGGATAGTGTTGGTCCAGGGGTCGGGAAGACCTGAGTTCAAATGCAACCTTAGATGCTTACTTGTGACCCTAAGCAGTCCACGTCCCTGTTTGCCTCAATTTCTTCCTCTGAAAAATGAACTGAGGAAGGAAATGGCGACAACTCCAGTATCTTTGCTAAGAAAACCCCAAATGGAGTCACATAGAATTGGACAGAACTGAACACAACTAAACAATCAAAAACAACAGTACAGGTATGTATGTAGTTCGCCTTGAAAAAAAAAAGTACTCTATTTTTTAAAAGAAACTGTTCAAAAGATGCCAAAGGCAATTTCCATTTTTTTGATTTGAGTCTCAAATTAAAGTTACGTACACATCAAATTACAAAATCAAGGTAATACCATTTACTTGATGAAAATTTATTCTAATTTCAGGAAAAGTACTAGAGGGAAAAATGACCTGCTTAATGCTGGACTGAAAAACATTATTCCATAAAGAGAAGGTTAAGAAACTATCTAGAAATTCTTGTCTGAATAAAATCTATTAAACAGACTGCATCAAATGCAAGAATACATCTGTTGTACAGAAGCAGGCCCACTCTTCAGGCACATCATAGTTGCTCTTAACTCCATATAGATTCCTCAACATTTTTTTCTTTTTTTTTAGTTTTTAGGCAATTGGGGTTAAGTGACTTGCCCAGGGTCACACAGCTAGTAAAGTGTCAAGTGCTTGGTCTGACCTCAACTATTTCTTATCTATAGCATGACCTTTAATGGCAACTAATCATAATATGACAGATACATTAAAAAACAAAAGTGTTTTTACTAAAGTTGCAAATTCTTTATTTAACTGAATTAAGTTCCAAGGGCAGTTAGGTGGTGCAGTGGACAGAGTGCTGACTCAAGAGTAATTTGAACCTGAGTCAAATCCAGCCTCAAACACTTAATAGTTGTGTGACCCTGGGCAAGTCACTTACCCTGTTTCAGCTTCCTCAACTGTAAAAAAGGAATAATGACTGCACATACCTCTCAGGGTGGTTATAAGAATCAAAAAAGGTAATATTTGTAAAGCACGTAGCACAGTGGCTGACCTACAGAAAGTGTTCAGTAAGTTTTTCCTTCCTTCTTTCCATATTCTCTCCTTCCTTCTAAGACATTTATGCTCTAATAAAACAAAACAGTGGCATAACTATACCTGAACCACCCAGGGGCTGTTAGCAAAAGCCATAATGTCCCGTTCTTCCCAGAAGAAAGCAGAATCTGATCTCTTAATCATTTCAAATTTGCTCAGCAGCTTCATAGCATACACCTTCCTGGTGGATTTATGCCTTACCTTTAAAACAAAAGTTTTGTTTCAAATAATTATAATATCTTAGATAATAAATCATTTCTTAACTTCAAGAAATCCCAATAAAGTGCACCAATTCACTAAATGAGTATAATAGCTTCATGAGATCTCATAAGTACTTCAACTTGACAAAAAATATTTTAACAGCTCAGTCATTTCAATTATTCCTTCTTTAGCTGAAATATATGTGTGTATATATATATATATTTGACAAATTATATTAAACTTTAAATCACTTTAACAAAAGACAGAATTTTATTGTCTCCATTAATTTCTGAAAATCTTTGGCTATTGTTTTGTGTTATGCAATTACATAAAACAAAAAGTAAAATCCATGTTAATTACTAGTTAAGTCAAAAACTAATCAAACTGACAAACCAATCTCCATACTCTTTCCTCCACCCACTTTTGATGCCTAGCCCTTATTATTTTGTTTCTACAATGAGATTATATGGAAGAAAAATGCCATCTGTTGCAATGATGAACACCATCTCTGTATTAATGGAATTAGACAGGCTAGCTTCCAATTTAGGGTTATTTATTTTTACACTCCTAACTAGAATTCCCATTCTAATTCCTGGCTGAACTCATAGAACAGCCATTAATGGTTTGATGTTAGCTCAGAAGGAAGACTCCAGCAGAAGAGCTCAGGTATGTGTTAGTAGCCCTATGTTATTTAACATCTTTATCAATGACTTGGAAAAAGGTATGCAAAATCTTTTTACTCAATTTGCAGATGACCCAAAGCTAAGAGAAATAACCAACATTGAACAATGAATGACGAGGTCAGGATCCAAAAAGATCTTGACAAGCTAGAACATTTGGTTGAATCTAATAAGACTAAATTTAGTAAGGATAAATATGAAATCTTATACTTACTTGGTTTCTAAAAATCACTTTCCTAAGTTCAAAATGTGAAAAGCATGGCTAAAGAGCAGTTTGAAGAAGAGCTGAGAGTTTTCCTGAACTGCACACTCAATGAATCTGGGGGGTGACACCTTGGGTCAGACAACATTTGAAGTATTATGCTGAGTTTTGGACATCACATTTTACAAAGAGAAATAACAAGGAGGAGAATGTCCAGGAGGGAAACAAGAACGGTCAAAGATCTTAATCAATCAACCAGCATTTTTAAGTACTTCTATATCATACAGAAGGTTGGCTGAAAGTACTAGGGACTTTTAGCTTGCACAAGAATAGATATGGGAATATGATAGCTATATTCAGAGTACTAAGAAGGCTGTCATGTGAAAGAGATTAAATTCCTTCTGTTTTAATGAAGTGGTAAGAAGTGGAAGCAATGGGTAAAAGTTACAAAGAGGCAAACTGCAGTTTGAAAAAAGAAAAATTTAACAGAGTTATTCAAAAATGACTCAGGGCATGCCTCAGGAAGTAAAGGTTTTTTTCTTAACATGTTTGGCAGCAGCATCTTAAGAAGTTTTGGGAGAAAGAGAGAGATGATAGAGAGAAATTAGGTAAAAAGGAGATGGGGAAGGGAAATCCATGCACAATAGTTATGCCCAGACTTTTACTCTTCTAAAATGATACTTATCAGACATCATTAAGTTTCACTAGTTTACTTATTTTATGGTGCCATCTTTAGCACCACTGGACCTAAAAGATCCAATCTGTGAAACCTACCCACATTCCATATTTCTTAAAAATTACTTCTTCTATAAGAGGAAGAAAAATGAAATAGTACTTGATCTCTAATTGGAAGAAAATGAAAATGTTTAGCTCCTTTTGGATAAAGGATTTCATTTACTCTTTACTGTCCTCCACATAAACTCCCCGCCTTTTCCAGCTCCCCTTCATGCCTTCTCTTTAATCATTAGAACACTGGCTTGTAATTGTAACCCAGAACTTAACGCTGTGCCTAGCACACAATAAGCTCATAAAAAATGCTTTGTCTCTCTTGGATTAGAATTTTAGTAATTAAAGGGATCTGGCTTAAGTGTGTATTCGAAGAAATCTACCAAAAGAAATCCAATACCATGAGAAAGACCCTGATGCACAATGCATACTAAATATCATATAATAAACAGATTATTTGTCTGTCACTTTGAAAGACAACTGGCTGTGAAAGCAAATAACCTAGCAAACCAATAAGATTACTCTGACAGGTAAATACCAGGCAAATGCCAGGCAACTTTGATCCAGTCTAGAGAAATGAAGGATGGGAACAGACATATGAGGTGTGTTACAAGGCTAGGTAAACAGAAGGAAAGAGGAAGAAAATTACATCCCTCACTCCCAATCTTGCTATGTAAACAGGCTATCTAGAACCTTATCATATACTCAATTCTTACTAATAGGAAGACTCTACTTCTGAAGTTTCAATTTCTTCTTTCCCTATGCATGGATCCTAAGAGTTTCCTATGGAAAATACACCACTGCCGGTTGAATTTTACCCCAGAATTTGCATACTTTTTTAGGAATTGGGTAACCAAAATTCAAAGTGATCAGTTTTTTTTTAAATCCAATAGTCTCAAATTAAAAACTGTTGAACCAATATAGGCACCCTTACCAAAAAACATATCATCATTAAGTTCACTGGAATAACCTACCAATTGCACTTCTCCAAATGCACCTCTACCAATCACTTTCACTACTTCATAATCTTCAGCTTTCATGCGCAAATCTCTAATTTTATTTATTGTGTCTTTATCTGTGTAAAGAGAAAAAGTTAGAAATAAGTATTAAACAATTATTATTTTTAATTTCACTTATTCCATATTCCATTCCATATTCAGGTTTTCAGAAAAAAGTAAAAGACAAAAAAATACAAAATGATTGGTAACTTCTCAGTTCAATAAAATATAAATTATGACATACAGTACATAAAAAGTAATTAAGCAAAAGGACTTTTTATTAATTTAAAGCCTATAACTCCTCTCTCTACTTAATAGTAACACAGTAAAATAAAATCTTAGCCAGAAGAAATACAAGTAATGAAAACAGAAGATAAAACAAGTTTGGATGGTTAATTTACCATGAGATATGAATAAAAATTAAAATCAAAATGCTTTAAATCAATAAAGCAAAGAAGTAACATGCTCTGCTCTAATAGGATAAAATTTTATCTTCCTAATCAGCATTTCAAAACTTTTTTTCCCTTTTAAATGGTACAAATAAATGACTGAGATGTTACAAACAGGTACAAGAAACACTAACCTAATCTGGCATCTTCAGCACTTGTTTTCATTATGTCTCTCTATTTGAAACTCAATTTTAATTTAAAACAGCAGTGGGAATCATTGTAATTATTTATATAAACCTGTCATGCTATAAACTACAATAATTTACAAATTCCCAGTGGATAGATATTCTAATTCCAAATTTGGTCATGGGTTAAAATAAGTCTATTTTAATCCACATGGGTCAACACTGGCATGAAATTACATGGAAAAGCTTCATATTTCAGAGCTGTACAAAACACTGAACAAGTATTAAACTTAAGTCCCAGATTCTAATAAAAGTTGCATGGTACTATGCTTGTTTTGCTTCAAAAAGAAAGTTGTTTTGTTTTTTTTAATCAAACACATGCACACACACATATATACATAAATGTTCAGGCATTTTTCAGTTGAGTCCTATTCTTCACAACCCCATTTGGGGTTTTCTTGGCAGAGATACTAGAGTGGTTTGCCATTTCCTTCTGTAACTCATTTTACAGATGAGGAAACTGAGGCAAACAGGGTTTAGTGACTTGCCCAGACTCATACAGCTAGTGAGCATATGAGGTCAGTTTTGAATTCAGGAAGATGAGTCTTCCTGAAGCCAGGCCCAGCACTCTAGCCACTGTGCCCCCGAGCTGCCCTATAAATATATATATATATATATATATATATATATATATATATATATATATATATACTGCAGCTACTATATATGCCTACCTGCAGACAAGTTTATTACCTACTGATGCTAAAGTATAGCACAAAGGCATTGTAAAATTTCTATAGTGATAAAGAATAATCTAAACAAACTAACCAAAGAAGAGTAAGTACCTAAAAAACATATCTCAATGAAATGTCAATATGTGGCATGATTATTTAAAAAAATTTCCATGTTATCATTTTCTAACCGTCCAGAATTAGAACACATTATCTGCCCGAGGTAGAGGAAATAGCACTGAATATGAAGGCAAAAGCTCTGGTTTCAAATTCAGGCTTTGCCATTTACTACTAGCTGTGTAACTTTGGTCCAATCACTTAACCTCTCTAAGACTCTGTTTTCCTCATATGTAAATTGAGGATAATAACAATTACACTATCTCATATGATATGAGGAAAGCTCTCTGTAAACTATGAAGTATGATACAAACATAAGCTATTATTATTTCTACAAAGAACGTCCAAGTTAGTAAATAAAAAAACCGTATGTAAAAATAACCATTATGATTAGAATTTTCTGTTTAAAAACATTAAAACGACACACTACTCCACTGTACTAGTTAGTTTTGGTTAACTCTTTTTTTCTTCTCAGATATAAAAAAGTATGTCATTTTTATTGGCATCTTTCGTTTTACATTACCTATAGCTGACACTGTTGACCATCACCTCCAACTAAACATATTCTCCTCTCCCTTGATTTCAGAGAAGCTCCACTCTCTTGGTTCTCTATCTCTGCTTAACTGTCTTTTTTTGCTGGCTCCTACTCCTCTTTTAAAATATTTAATGTTTTCTTTACTAGTTACAAACAATTAAATATTCATTCAGGCTACCCTTATTTCCCCCCAAAATATATTTAATGTAAGTGTTCCCTAAACTTGTCCTATTCCCCTTCTCTTTTTATACAGTCTTCCTTGAAAAATCAAGTTCACTCCCAGTTTTAAATACAGATGATCCTCAAATCTATTTCCCTAATTCTGACCTTCTTAAAGCATAAGTCTGACCATGTTATCCTTCTGCCCAGGAACCTTCACTGGTTCACTTTTGCCACTAGGATAAAAATACAAACCTCAGCTTGACACTTGAAGCCCTATACCATCTGTCCCCAGCCTACTTTTCCAGGCTTACCAAATATTATTTCCCATCACACACCCTATAATCCAGTCAAATTGTCCTACTTGTTCCCAGAATGCTGGATCCCACCTGTTGTTTCCTGGACACAACACAATCTGTCCCAAGTACCACCTCTGCAAATCACTTTCCCCTCACCTTCATATCTCAGAATCCTTAGCTCCCTTCAATTATCATCTCATGTGTCATCTCTTACGGGGAATCTTTAGCTCTCTTTCCTCAAACTATTAAGAGGAGGAGCATATTTCTATCTGTTTGCAAACATTCCTCTATGTAAAACAAGAGCTCCTCAAAAACAGAGATGATTTTTAATTTTGTATGTATATCCCTTGTACATAGTAGATGCTTCATGAATGCTTGCCAAATTGATTTGGATCAATGAATAATTTATCAGCCTTTAATGCCTAGAACCTACTTTTTTACTTTTTAACAGTTAGGATAAAACTACACTACAAAGCTATTTGGTGGAAGGTTTAGATCGGCATCTTACCTAAACTCTATTCTGCAATAAACTCTATTGTAGATGATCCAAATGTAAAAAGCAGTGCCATAAAAAATATCAGAAGAATGGCAGGTTTTTTCTTCTATGTCTGAGGATAGAAGAATTTGTAACCAAACATGGAGCAGAATAAATTATAAAATGATAATGTGGAATTATGCAAGAAAATAGTTATTAAACTTCAATTCAGCAACCCTATTACTAGATCTACAGCCCCCAAATGTAAAGGATAAAAAGAATAATACATACAATGAAAACATTTGTAGCTACACCTTTTTTTTGGTGTGTATATGTATGTGTATAGAAGCAGATAGGTAGCACAAAGGATAGAGCACCAGGCCTGGAATCAGAAGGTACTGAGTTCAAATGTGGTCTCAGACACTTACCAGCTGTTTGACCCTAGGCAAGTCACTGAACCCTGTCTGCCTCAGTTTCCTCATCTATAAAGTGAGCTGGAGAAGGAAATGGCAAATCACTCCAGTACCTTTGCCAGGAAAATCCCAAATGGGGTCACAAAGAGCCAGACATGACCGAAACCATTGAAGAACAACAGATGCATGGGGGCAGGAGGGAGTAATCTTATATTCAATCTTTTTTTACATGAAAGGTTGCATGGCACTGCAGACAGAGAGGGCCTTAAGAGCAAGCAAGATTTCATTTCAAGGTCATCCTCTGACAAATAGCTGTGTGACTTCAGGCCAGGAAACTCTCTAAGACTACAAAGAGGCTGAACTATTACTGATTCAAATTGGTAAAGGAAATGTTTTTCATTGAAGTCTTTTATACCAGAGAAATCACAGGTCTAGTCTGATGATGACACCTACATTGAATCTTCCCCTTATAACAAAGAAAAACGATTAAGCAAAATACCTTAGTAGAAGGAACAGCTGACACCAACCTCTGGAGCATGCTCTTTTCTTTTTCCTTTTTGTGTCTCCTCTCATGAGGGACAAAAAAGAGAGAGAGTACATTCTGATAGTGAGACTGGACCCTATATTGGTCTTAAGGGGAAAGGAAAAACAAAGTGGTACTATTCTTATTCCTTCTTCCCTTGTCTTTCCCACTCAATCTCTAGCCCTCGATATTTGCATAACCAAATGCAATCAGAACATGTTTTTCCTATTTACCTCAAAATTTTCAGGAGCCTAAGTCACCACCAATAACCTCATAATAAGTTTGTGTCAGGTATGCTCTCCTTAATAGCAAGGTCCACATATAATAAAATAGGATTATTAATTTTACAAAAAATATTGTTAGTACCTTGTATGTTATGTTGTTATTCAGTCATTTCAGTTGTGTCTGACTCTGTGACCCTGTAGACCTCTGTGTGTGGGGTTTTCTTCCCAAAGATACTGGAGTGGCTTGCCATTACTTTTACCAGTGGCAAACACAGGTTAAATAACTTGCCCAAGATCACACAGCTAGGAAGTGTCTGAGGATGGATTTGAACACAGTTCTCCCTAACTCTAAGCTCAGCATTCTATCCACTGCTCCACCTAGCTGTTTCCCCAATTCTCTACAAACAGGAAGGAAATACATTTCATCGATTTTTTTTCTAGGATGGAGATTGGTCATTACAATTAATTAGAGCATAGCTGCCTATCAGTTGTGCTTTTGTTTATGTTATTAGTCATCGTATATACTCTGTTTCTTTCACTCTTCAAAAGTTCATAGAGTTGCCTGATGTTTCTATGGATTCCTAACATTTATCTTTTCATTTTTTATGGAACAATATATCTTAATATTAACATACAATTTGTTCAGCCATTTTCCTATCAGTGAGTAACTATTTTATTTCCTACTTTGGGTCACACAAAAAACAGTATTCTGAAGTACTATGCCCAACAATTAATGATTTAAAAAATGAAATTCATTAATGTAGTGGAATATTACTGAACCGAAAGGTAAAGTGAGCAAGAAGTATTCTGAGAAACATGGTAAGACTTGTAAGAAATGATGCAGAATGAAGTAAACAGAACCAAGAGAATAATATCTGCAATGACTACTACAACATAAATAAAGACAACACTAAAAGGTAATACTCAGGTCAAAAACAACGGATGGTTTTAGTTCCAAATAACTAAAATTTAAATAGCAAATGACAAAAATGGAAAGTTATAAATACTCTCATGTATAATTACCACA